CTAATTCACAAATATCCCACAAAAATTCCTGAAGTATTCCATACTACACGAAATCGCTCAACACACATTGATCCATGCATCTCTACATACAAAATTTTACATTGTTACAATGTTAATTCAATTGCTGAATTGAAACAGTTTTTAAAATTAGATTAAAAACTAATTTTTGTATAAATTGATTTATAATTTTCTATCAAGAAGTCAGAGTATAAGATATATCAGTGTATCTTAGTTAAATAGCATTGGATCTGTTTCCAAACCAATTGTAATATGTTAGACATGAATAAAAATCACATTTTTGAATAAGCAACCCTGGATAATTGAAAATGTTTGAACAAAAATTTATGTTATTCACCTATCGAAACGGTAAAAAGATAGAGTATGACGTATATATTCTACGACCTTGTTCATTCATAAAAATACTAATTCTATCATAGGGAAAAAGTACTATCAGGTGTTTTTTATTGAATAGTTGTAAACTAAGCTTGTGATCATTTAAATTTCGAACTACCGGATCTAAATTGTTTAATGTTTATTGAATAATATTCATCAACAAGAGGCATAATAATTGTAAATTTTCGTTGATTGTATTTCCGCTGAACCAACTTTTGACAAATTTTACAATGAACGACGAAGAACTTTCACCGAGAATTATCGCCGTTGGTGATTCTGGTGTAGGTAAAACTAGTTTAATTCATCGTATTAAGAGTGGCTCTTTCCTTGATCAGACTGTTCCGACGATTGGAGCAGGAGTAAATCCAATAGATGTAGAAGTTGATGGAAAAGTTATTTCATGAAGATATTATTTAATTTAATTTTATGCTTCGAAATATTATTCTTGATTTAATACTATGATTCGTATTTTAGGTAAATATTCGGACCTTGAACCCAAGAAGAGGAACTTCCTCAAAAATCGGATACTGATTGTTGAAAAAAGACTATAAAGCATGTTCTTTTAAGTCTATGTTACTTATCTGTGATGCCATAACTGAACAGGCATCATAGAAGAACTCCCTCAACAATCAGATACTGATTGTTGAGGAAAGACTTAAAAGATTGCTCTTAGCATTCTTTGAAGTCTTTTGTTCCTCATCTTGGGCTCTATGTCTAAGCAAGAACCCAAACTGAGGAACAAAGTCGACAATCAGATACTGATTGTTAACAAAAAACTTCAGAGACCGTTCTTAACAGTCTTTGAAGTTTTCATACTATTTTCAGGTAGAGTATCTAAGCGAGTTCCCAAGAAGAGGAACTTTTAAAAAATTTCGACCTTGAATCGAGAATTTTATTGGTAAACTCTTATTATTTATTTTATAATATCATGTAAATCTATTAATTTGACTCAATGTAGTCTTCAAAATTATACAATTGCGAATTAATGACTCTAATTTTTTGTGAATCTTCTAAATATCTCGTTTTTCGAATTTCGTATCGTAGTCGACATCTTCATACAATATATTTTTCTGCTCTGATTTACATTTCCGTGTTTATGAATTTTTGTTCGAAATTTTTCGTATGCAATCTTGCATTAAAACTAAGTTTGTGATCTGCGACGATAGACCTCCTTTAATAATTTTTGCCGAATTTTTGGTGTCGATCTCGCGTCGAAATGCGAGGTTTTGTCCGATCAAACTGCGAAAAATGGCCAAAATTTGAGAGATAATTACAGGCGATGCCGGAGATAATGACTTAATTGAGCAAATTCAAGCACGTACAACAGAGCAAATCAACCAAGTACACACAACAATGGCCGATTTACTTAACAACAGACTCGCTTCTCTACAAAAAGCTCTTGATATTGCGCTCATGCACACAACATCAGATAATGCACCAAAACTCAACGAAGTTTGGGCAGTTACATCTCAAAACAGAGCTGCTCTCGTCAATGCAATGACAGAACAATCACTTTTATCAAGAAGAGTCGATGTTTTGCAGCAATTAATTGATAATTTGCAGCAAAATCCATCAAATCCTGAATCTCCGAACCGTCCAATGCTTTCAAGCATCATGGCACATCAAACAGCAGCAACACGTGCAGGAATGTTGATTCCGTTAGACAACGACATTCGTGCAAAAGAACATCAAAAACTAGAAAAAACAGTTGACCATCTTGGCGGCCAAATCGATGCTGCTCTTCAAGATATCCTTCGAATCAAGAACGCCGTCAACAGGAATGAGAAAGATGTTAGAGATGTCGTACTCGCAATCATCGATGAATTCAAATTGATCAGAACAAACGCGAGTGGTTTAGAACATCTTCCTCCACTTAATTTGGCAACATGTGTCCCCAGTTTCTTCAATAATCCAAGCTTCACATTTGCACGTGTTGGTGGTGACGATGAATCACCAGATGAATCTGATAGATCTAGCTCTCTTCCAACAGGATCAGGCACATCAACACTTGAAAGAATGAGACTTGGAAGAAGAGGAAGATACAGAGAAGACAGCGAAAACGAAGACATGATCAGTGGCGAAATTTCAGAAGATGACATTGGCATAAAGAAGAAACAGTCAACAACGTTCTTCAAGACTAAAAAGATCTCTGGATTGATGCATATAATTTCTCGACAGCCTAACTATAACTCTCCACCTCCAAAGCTTGATATTGATGACAAGAAATCAGTGAAAAACGATGACAAAAAATCAGTTAAAAGTGAAAGTGAAAATGATAACATTTCAACACAAGTTTCAGGTAATATTTTGTATGTTGGGAATACGTCTAAATCGCAGCCAGAGCAGACAGTTGTCCATGTAATTGAAAAGGAAACATCGGAACAGTTGAAAGGACAAATGGAACTTTTCATCAAAAACAAAAATGAACTTATGTCAGCTGTTGAAAGAAAAGTTGATCGCGATTTTGTTGAGAAAGTATTTAACAAGTTCAGAGTTATCATCAACGGATTGAATGAACGAGTGAAAGAGCTTGCATCGTCTATGGATAAATTCGCCACTCAAAAGGACGTTCAGACAGTTGCCGAAGTTTTGTCACAGACAGCAGCGATGGTCGAAAAATCATCTACAAAACAAGGCAAACTTCCTGTTTCTAACTTCGGCGGAAGTGGAGATTTCGTCTATGGTGATGATGGTTCTGCATTTGTTAAAGAAACTAAGAAAGAATCATCTGAATTACCTCTTCTTCAGAAATCAAATAACAACAGATAATTATTATTGTTTTTGTTTTTATTTTTTATTATTTATATTTCTATGTATTTTTATTGTAAAAAGTTTTTTTATATTTATCTGAAGAATACTTTTATATATATATTTGTTTAAAGAATACTATCTTGTAGTATTCTATTCTTATCTTAAGTCTTTCAATTGTTTTCAAACGAGAATAAACTATAGATCCAATAGACTTTTCAGGCGGCACCGATATTGTTTCTTTTTTGATTAATCAATCTGAATAAAATATTAAAACTAAATAACAAGGACGGATATTTTTACATATGGTCAATCCATTTATCAATGAAAGGACGCTCATCTGACGTCACTCAATCAAATTCAATTTATGGAAATTTTGACTATTTTTGAGAAGTTTTTTTTATCCAAAATTTATGGAATAGCAAAATTCCCTTTTAATAAGGGGATAAAAACTATTTCATAAATCTTTTTATGAAATTAACATGACTCAATATTCTTTAAACATCAACTTACCAATGCAATACGAATTGAAATTCACGAAGATTGGACAGAATTTTATCCAAACACACAAACATACGAAAATTATACAAAAAATAATAGTAAACTCGAAGCGAAAGAAAGCAGTTATTATGTTTCATCATGCTTTTTCACTCAAGTAAACACACAAGGTTCAGTTTACTTAAACACACAAAAAAATACAATCAAATTCCTCATTGATACTACAACATTTAATAATTGTAGTAACAGTCAAACAGGCGGTTGTATTTTCTATCAATCTGAAGGCGAATTTGTTCAAGATCGCGTGTGCAGTTTCGCTTCTAAAGTAAACTCACAAACTACACAAGGTGTTTACTGTAAAATTGATGTTAGTGAAAGTAATACCTACAAAAATTATATTCATGATTCCTCTATTAGTAAAAGTGGAGATGAAAGTGAACTTGGATGGTGTAATCTTTATTTAATAAACGGCCAAATCGAAATTAAATCAATCAACATTTCATTTTCGAAAATATTTTTGAGAGATTTTTATGAAGTTGATTCATTTTCAAAAGGATCAAATTGTTCATTTTCCACTTTTTCTAATTCAAGTGGAACTAGTTATAATTATAAATTCCTTTATTATAATTCTCAAGAAACTTTTGAAATTCGGAATTGTAACATTTTAAATAACATTGGAATGATTCTTTGGGCACAATCTGCGCCAGTTAATATCAAAAATAGTAGTTTTATAAATAACACTAATTCTCGTTATTTTCAAGGTAAAATTACTTTAGATGGATGTTACATTGATAACAATTCTCCAGTAACAGAAGGAGCAGTTATCTTTATAAATAATATCACAAATGAATTTACTCATAATCTTCCTCATTTTTCAACTGCTCTTTGTCATGCAGATATTCCTATTATTTATGAAATCAAAGAAAACATTCAACATAGTGAATATGTTTCTTTTCTTTGTGTTTTTCTTTCATCAATAAACATCTAACTTAAAAAGTAGTCTTATTATCATGAAATACAAATATAAATTGCATTCTTTGCACGATATTGCTTTCTTTCCCCAAAACATAGGCTGAAAGAAACCTTTTTTATCTCGATTAAAATATTCATATTAATGGGTTATTTTTGATGTATTTTCTAAATATAGTACCAGATCTGAATTGCATGATCATGTAAAATAATAAAATGAAAAAGAAAAATTCTGTATATTTTATAGTGAAATCTATTTCTCAAATTAGGTGTGTCAAAAAATTGAGAGAATGTCGAAAAGTGGTAAATACACCCTTAGAGAAATGAATGTATAAACAATAACGAAATTACATAAAAAATAATATTTTTAATTAACAAAACAATATAATTTATTATTTAACAAATTTTTGAATTTGTTCTCTAAGTTTGTTTGAAGGTTCGCTGTTGTCGTGAACTAATTGTTTCGAGTATTCAAAGATGAATTGAACAATTTCTAATGGTGGTGAGTCTTCAATGAACAAATAGAATGCATAAACAAGTGACAAGTTATCGCTTGGTTTCTTGCTCTCGTAATCATGGTCTCCAATCATTGAAAGAACTGAGTCTTTGAAGAATTGAACGAATTCTGGAATGAGATTGTTCTTGTTAATCTGCATCTGAATAATATGGACTAATAATGTGCGACCTTCATTAGTAAGTCGTTCTCGATTTTCATTGAAGAATTCGAGGATATTTAAATAAAATGGAGTTTCGTCATTCAACAAAAGATTTCGAATGAGTGTATAAACAAAATATGAAATAGAACTATCTTTCATGAAAATATCAAGTTTTTCGAAAAAGATGTCACTGTTTTCATTCGTGTTCAAAACAAAGATGGACCATGCGAGCAATGTTACAGGATTAATGCACTGTGAAGTGTTGAAATTATACAATTCACCTTGATTGAACTTTTGAATCCATTTGTCTTTGTCAATCTTATATAAAAGTAATTCTATTTCATTCAGATTTTTCAATAAACCATCAATATTGTTGATTTCATTGTCTTGCTCTGAACTAAGTATCTTCGAGCTGTAATAACTATTATTGTACATGCTATACGTGAAAAATGATGAAAAATATGAGATTGTGTTCATTTTGTTAACAAATGATTCATCAAATGTTAAAAGATTAGACAAGTATTGGCACGAAATCAAAAATTGATGTAATGCCATTTGGAAATTTTCTGAATAACTACGTGGAAATGAATCCATCTGTCGATTGAAAAGAACTAAACATGGTTCTGGTTCTTTGATATTCTGCAAAACACAGCCAATAATTGTTGATGCATATGATGAAATAGCTGGGAAAAAGAAAAGATAATTAATAGAAAAAACAGATTCAACAATGTTTTGATATATTTCTTCTGGAATTAAATTATATCGGAAATTCTTAAGAAAGATATCAAAACAGTTCAAAATATTCTCGAAATCATCTGACTTCAAAGCAATAAAAGTTCTTGATTGAGGATTCAAATAAAGAGTGAAACTCTGGAGTTCATCAATTGGTGTTGTTTCTGCGAAGTTTTGTGTATAAAATGGTTGTTTCAAGAATTCGCAATTTCGATTAAGAAGAATTAAAATCAAATTCTGGATTTTTTCTTTGTGCTTCTTTGAAATTCGAACAAAACAATCATTGATTGTTGTCCATAAATCAAAACTAATATTAGAAATATCAATATGTGAAAACGTATCAATGAATGTGTCAACAAATGAATCATTATCAACTTTCATGATGATTTCCATCAAACAGTAAAATGAATTAGAAATAACATCACTTGTGTAACTGTCATCGACAATTAATTGAAGACATGTTTGGAAGATTTCTTCAACAAATGATGACATTTTAACAAAATCAAATTTAATAAATGTAGTATATAAACGAATCAAAACTGATAATAATTGATTACTCATATATTGATAATCACTATCATCAATAACTGCTTTGATATGTTCATTGAGTTTTTGACGCAATTCGAGTTGTTGGTCAAATGTTTCTTCCAAAAATTGTGAATTATCATTATCATAAATTTGGATTCCATTCAATAAACTGAAGATTATTAAATATTCTGTTTCATTTTGAATTCGTTCTAAAACAAAATAAACAAATTCTTTCGTTTTAACTTCATCGAAATAAAGAGATTTGTCTGAATCAATCAATGACCAAAATACTTTAGCTGCAATGAGTCGAAGACTTGCATCTTCACTCATTAATGAAATTACAAGTAATTCATTTTCTAAAATGATATCAAGAATTTGATAATATCCTGAAAACGCATTTGCTGTGAAAAGACAAATTGTCAATGCTGTTTTAACATAATTCATATCAGAAAAATCTTGTTTGTTCTGATTGAAAAGGAAATCCCCGAAATTAGTGATGATTTCAATAACATGAAAATTAATGATTTCATTAATAACTGTTGCTGCATAATCAAACAATGAATCATCTTCATTTTCAGAAAGACATGGATCATATTCATTGACAACTTCGTAACAATAAGGTACTAAAAATTCTTCCAACAAGCTCTTAAACGTGTGTAATAAATCAGCACCATATAAATGAACAATGTCTGAAAGTAACAACAAGGTAAATTTAACAACTTTTTCTGATTTCGTGTTACTTTTGACTAAATCACAAAAATACTGTAAATAATCGATAATTCTTGATCTCATCATCTTGAATGTTGTCGTAAGTGTAGATTTCATTACTGATAATAGCTGTACGAGGCTGTTTTCATCTAAATAAGAAAGTAATTCGAAAATATAATTATTTCTTGATTCCATGTCGATATCGTTTGAAATAACAAATATTAGGTTGGTAAGTTTGACGTGAGTGTCTTGTGTGGTGTTCTGGTTGCTTATTGTAGTATCAATTAAATTATTAAAAAATTCTTCGCATTCTTGGGGATGAATGAACTTGTATGAGCAGCATGTCGTTAGATACTTGATAGACATGCATTGTACGTCGTTGTTTGGTGATTCTGTGCCTTGAATAAAAAGTTCAACGCATTTTGGTTCTAATTTGTATTTGCTGGTACATTCAACAGCAATATCTGCAATGTTATCTCGAGTTATTTGATCGATATTGCCAGAAAGGTAAATTGGAAATAAAACTGAAGAAACTGTGTTATCAAAGAAATCTTGAGTGACTATTTCATTTAATGCTTGGTAATTAAGTATCATTCTATGTAAAAGAACTGCTCCTGTATTCTTTAGTCGTTCGTTTGAACTCTGAATGAGATTTAGTAATTCAACTATAGATTCTTGTGGAAAATTTTGGAATATTTGGTTAAATTGGGCCTCTGCTTGACTCCTCTGTTCATTATCTGTGGAATAACAAGCAGTTAAAGCATATTCTTTGAACTCATCAGAATTCATTTTTTGATGAATTGAAAAATCGGCTGAATATTTATTGAATAAAAATGATTTGGTAAAGATGAATTAAGGAAGTCAATTTGGAAAATTTTTTTCACTTTAGGAGAATATAATTTTCCATTTGGAAAATTTAAAAAGTGAGACGCGCAGGATTCGAACTTTTTTAAAAGTTGATTTAAATGAATTTTAGTGTGGAATATAAGGATAATATCATATTTAAAATAAGAATATACTAGTTTAGGTGGTATTAATTTTTTCGATAAATTTGAGAGTATGTACGTTTAGGGCATGAAAAGTGTTAATTCGCTCAGCGAAAGCTGAGCTAGCTTCGTTCTCGAAAGAATAAGGAAGGAGTGAAGGAGAATGATACAGAAGTTGACACATTCATATCATTTCAACAAATTTTGATCAAATTGAAATTCAATAAAATTCAATTCAATTCATATCCTTCAGTCAGTACATTGATATCCTTCTGCATCACAATGATAACTCGGGCATCAATAGTTCTACAACTAACTCAGAAAAAACAAGATTATTACTTCCTGCTTACAGCTTTTAAAAAGTTTCGATGATAAAAATCACTCTACTCTCGTTTATCGACATATGGTGATAGTAGGTAAACATATTCTTATCGATATTAATAAAAATATTTGTACGAAAATCTTATCCAATTAGAGAGTTATTCATAAAGTATATGATAATTATAATTACTTTATCTTTGTTTTATCTTTGAATAAACAATTTAATTTAAATTGCATAATATTTTTTGGTTGAAAGACAGGAAACTTAGTTGAGTTTGTATTATTTTTATCGTTTAATTCATCGTATCAATGAGTGATCCAGATATTTAAGATATTTAGAAAAAATTTATTAATTTGATTAACAAATTTTAATCAAAATAGCAAAAATCTATTTGATAGCTGTAAGCAAATAATAATTTCTATTTCAACCAAAATCACTTATTTTCATCTAAACGTATAAAATTGTCAATTTTATGAGAATAAATTTAAAATCTCATGAAATATAAAGGAGAGTAATATTTTTCAATTTTCTTTTTTTCTTTGTCTCAAATATTTTCTGTTGGGAATTTTCTTGTTATCAAAAAATAATTTTAATATTTGTTTATTTCATTACATACAATAAAATTTTAAAAACTCTATTTCTTCTCAAGAAAATTTTTTCCTTCATATGAAGAAACATTTTGTTCTCCATTTGATACTGAGTCTAAATCTCGATTTTTGAATTTTCTTCTTTCCAAATTTCTTTTTTCCAAATTAGAAGTTTAATTCAAATTTTCAATAGTTTATATATTTTCTCAAACCGTCTCAGATTTTCTCACTTTTTAGGGATTTTCTCTCAAAATATACAAAAATAGTAATATCAATACATGTGTCTAATATACTTTAAACCCATCGTGACAAAATTCAAAAACGAAGAGTTCTTCTCTCCAAATTTTTTTCAAAATCAAAAAAATGAGATAAAAAAGTATGTTTGGAAAATTCATTTTTAGAATTTTAGGAATTTTCTCACTTTTCTTCCAAATTGACATCCTTAGATGAATTGATAAAAATACATGATATTTCCATAAACGTCAACAACCAAAAAATCAAACAGCGTAATCGTGCAATATAACCTGTGATACTATTATCTTATCTGTAGACGAAGATAATTAGATATGAGATAATAAATAAAAAAAGAATTTATGAAAATTTATCTAAATTTTGTAACGAAACAATTGCTATCTAACATCAATGTTCACTCGCCCATGTTTTTACGATCATGACCCATTCAATGACAAATTTCATTTTTTGAAACTTCTTCAAGAAGATTTTCACTAATTTTTATATAAGTATTGGAATAAATCATCAAAATCCTTTATAGAGCCATCGGTAAATGATTCCAAGCACTAAAAATATAAAAACACCTGATATATCACAACTTCAAGAAGTGACCACAAAATCAGGCCAATCAACATCTGAACAAGATCAAGATTTCATTAAGAATGTCAATGATATATTCTTGTTAACCAGTTTTGATGATTTCTCTAAGAATATTCAGCAATTAATTCTACAAATTCTTCAATCTGAACGAATTAACACATATTTGACAAGCCAAGAATTCATTGATACTATTGCTAAATCCTTTAACGAAACTACTTCTGAAATTTTAGCAAAATTACTTAATTCGATTATTTATAAAACAAATAACTTAGATAAGTCCGTATGTTTCTCTATTGTTTCTATTTGCATGAATTACTTATTAGATCATCAAGATATGGATTGCAAAGTATTTCTTCAAATTTTCCGCAATCTAGCATCAATTCAGGACGATATTTATGATGAAGTAGAAGATTTCATTCCATTTATACTTGATTTCATTACAATTAGAGTCAATAAAATTGAACAAATGACAAATGACGAAATCAATTCAATTGCTTTCTTCATTGGACTTCCTTGTCGAAAAGTTGATCAATTAGATGAAAAATACCACGTTTTACTATCAAATATTCTACTTTTACTGGCTACACACGATATCACAAATTATAATATCCAAAAACATACAATTCATGCAGCAACAGTGTTTGTTATCAATGAAGAAACATACCAACTGTTAGTAGACAATTCATTTCTATCATTTTACCTTAATAATTTTATGAATTTTTCTCAAAAGCTTTGGGGAGACATTTGTTCATATTTTGGTGTTTGTCTCAACATAGTACCAAGTAATGACATGTTTTCTAGGTTTAATACTCAAATTTTAATTGAAAAATTAATTGATAACCCAAATAAGAAATATATCATTGGTGTATTTTATTTTTTGAATTGTGTCTTCCAATTGCAACAAGAAAACTTGTCTTCTTGGGTTTCTGCAGGATTAATTGAATATTCACTTAGAATATATCCAGTTGCACCACAATTCATTAAGAAGTCAATTGTTGTTTTATTTGTTAATGTAATTTTGAACGGACAACCTGAAATTGTTAATGAAATTTTGAATACTCCAATTCTCCAATATATTATTGAATTTTTTGAATATTCAAAGACAAAACTTCGAATACAAATATATAATATGATTAAATACATCATTGAATCTCAACAATTTGAATCAATTGATTTTAACTCAATTTTGGAAAGTGTTATGCCAATTGCTATAGAAGATCTCAACTCTGAAAAAACAGAAATAGCTGAATTGGCCCAATATATTGCTGATATGGAAGATTTTGCTGAATGATTGGAAAAAAATTTAAAATAAATAACAAGGATGGATATTCTTGCATAGAGCTCAAGCCTTTTGCCAATCAAAATCGATAATTTGAAGTTGCATCATCCAATTTCATATCTTTTCCCTAAAATCGAATTTTTAACTATTTTTGAGAAGCACTTTTTATCCAAAATTTATGGAATAGCAAAATTCCCTTTTATAGGGGATAAAAACTATTTCATAAATCTTTTTTTGAAATGAATGTTATTCAATATTCTTTAAACATCAATTCTACAATGCAACTCGAATTCAAATTCACGAAGATTGGACAGAATTTTATCCAAACACAGAATCATACGAAAATTTTACAAACAATCATAGTAAACTTACAGCGAATGAAAACAATTATCATATTTCATCATGCTTTTTCACTCAAGTAAACACACAAGGTTCAGTTTACTTAGATACACAAAAAAATACAATCAAATTCCTCATTGATACTACAACATTTAACAATTGTAGTAACAATCAAACATGTGGTTGTATTTTCTATCAACAAGAAGGCGAATTTGTTCAAGATCGCGTCTGCAGTTTCGCTTCTAAAGTAAACACACTATATACAGAAGGTGTTTACTGTAAAATTGATGTTAGTAATAGTAATACCTACAAAAATTATATTTATGATTCCTCTATTAGTAAAAGTGGAGATGAAAGTGAACTTGGAAGATATAATCTTTATTTAATAAACGGCCAAATCGAAATTAAATCAATCAACATTTCATTTTCGAAAATAGATTTTAGAGATTTTTATGAAGTTTATTCATTTTCAAAAGGATCAAATTGTTCATTTTCCACTTTTTCTAATTCAAGTGGAACTAGTTATAATTATAAATTCCATAGTTTAAATTCTCAAGAAACTTTTGAAATTCGAAATTGTAACATTTTAAATAACAAAAATGGAGCTCTTCTTTGGGCAGAATCTGCTCTAGTTTATATCAAAAATAGTAGTTTTATAAATAACACTAATTCTCGTTATTTTTCAGGTACAATTACTTTAGATGGATGTTACATTGATAACAATTCTCCAAAAACATTAGGAGAAGTTATCTTTATAAATACCATCACAAATAAATTTACTCATAATCTTTCTCATTTTTCAACTGCTATTTGTTATGCAGATATTCCTATTATTTATGAAATCAAAGAAAACATTCAACATAGTGAATATGTTTCTTTTCTTTGTGTTTTTCTTTTATCACTAAACATCTCATTTAAATCTTAGTATTATTATCATGAAATACAAATATTTGAATTGCATCCATTGAAATACTACTTATTTTATGTGGTGGAACTCCTATTTGATTTGTGCATTATATATTCTGTTGTAAGAAACATATGATTTACTCATTATTTTATGTTTATGAGTTTTGCTTATTATTTAGTTATCGTGGATTCAATTTGAGTGTTTGATAAGTGTGTGTGTGATCTTTTTAATTGATAATTTCAAAAGATCTCGAATAATAAATTTAATTTGAACAAAAATTTACTAAAACAAATAAAACAGTTTAATAACAATAATATAATTCAGAATTGGAAGTACTTTTTGCCGCGTTTTGTTGTGAAGAACGCCAAAATCGCGCAAAGCATCAAAAACTCTGAACTTCCAATATAAAACAAGATTTGGCTTGTTGTATTTCCTGATTTCTTGACCAATTCTCTGATGTCGAAGTCATCTTCAATTTCGGAAAATAATGAAGCGAGAGTTGCTGATTTCTTCGAGAATTTGGCAGCGTTCTCTGATATTGTCTCATTCAGCGACTTAACAACGAAGTTTGTATAGTTTAATCCAGCAGTTAATACTTCATGAGAAGATTTGACAATATTTGAGATCTTCAAGGTCCTCTCATACCACTTTGTTGTATAAGGATTAATTTTCTCGCGTACAAAGTAGTTTAATTCATAAAAAGAAGCTGTATCGAATGCAACTCTGTTTGCTTCGTCAATTACTTCAATAACTGTGGAGAAATTGGCTTCTGCGTTAGGCTGTTCGTCCATTCTGATATGTTCCAAGTACATCTTTTGGAATTCTGGGTTTCTATAATGGAAAATATGATTTGGCTGATATGTTCCGGTATTCCAACGGGTCATGGCTACTTTTCGCTTACTACTGATTTCATGGTTATTCAGTAAATGTATAAACAAGTCGAGAAGTTCGACTTTTGCGAAATTCTGGCCATTTATAGCAGTTACGCCTATGTAGTTTTGAGTAATATCGACATTTAGGTCTGATGAATATATGAGCTTCTCAGTTTTCAGTTTTCCTATCTTGATATCGATAGTTTGCAAATTTAATTCAATTGCAACATTAAAAACTGATCCGATTCTGTATTCAAGCGACTGAACTGGCTTCAAGTCGGACATGTTAATCGTTTGAATTCCTCTGTTTTGTATGAAATAAAAGTCTAAAAAGTTTTTCTCTTCTTTTTCGACCAAACTTATGATGACTGCGATACCTTTAAACACCTGTGGTCCTCCGGCTAATTCGCCTTCGTCACCGTATTTATCAACAAACCACAGGCCAATTTGAGAACCCAAATCTCCTTCGCTAAACCTAAAATCATATGAAATACGCCAGTCTTTCCTAGGTATTTCAAGGTTTGTCCATGCGCAGCCACGTTTAAATTGAATTGGTGGGACTAATTGAATACTGTCGTTAAAAACAATAGTTGAGCCTGCAAACTCCCAGTATCCTATTTTGTTATCAGAGCTAAGCTGGAATGGAGCTCTCAATCCGTATTCTTCTGATAAAGAAAATGAAAAAAAAAATAAAAACATTTAGAAAAGTGACTGGATAATTAATAATTTTTGTCAAGAGATCAACTTTACAAAGTCAAAAAATAATACTTTATCAAGAATTACTTGTGATCATAGATAACACTCAAGAATTAAGATAAGTTTCTCCTGTTTTTATGAAATTTTGTTCCGATATCAGATCAATGAGTCATTAGTTCGACTTAAAAATGCCTTAATTATAAAAAACATCAATAGCTGAATATTTACCCTTACTACTAGACCTAAAATATATTAATAGAAATTCAAGGAATCTAAATCATCATATTTTCTTGCACAAAGAATAACATAATCGTAAAATCATTTCTTGCATTAGCATAGAACGAAAGAATTTTAGCTTTAAATTGAATTCCACTATAAATATCAAAAAAATCGTCTATATTTCCATCTCAGAAACAAGATTACATTAACTTCCTTTAAAAAAACAAATAACTTAGCAATACTAATCTACATTTAGCAAATAAATCTACTATTGAAGCTAAATTTACAAAATTTCGATCTCAATTTCAGTAAATATTTAAAAAGGAAACTTGGCATCCAGATAAAAGTAGATTTAATTACAAATGTTTATTACAAATTATCTTAAAAACTTGGCTTTTGTTCTTGTGAAAGAGGACGTTTTTCTTGTGGTTTTTCTTTGGGTTTTACGAAATCTGATTCAGTGAGGTTCTTTTTAAGTGGTAATTGACGGTCTTTCTGTTCAGGTTTCTGTTTTTCTTCTGATTTCGGTTCTTTCTTCGGTTTTTCTTCTGATTTCGGATTTGGTTTTGGTTTTTCTTCTTCGTTGAGGTCTGGATAGTTATTTTCTTCCTGTTTCGGATCATGATGCATAAAGGAAAAGATGTTTGGCTCTTCTTCATTATCAACAAAATCTTCTTCTTCGAACGGATCTGGATCGGCTTCAATCAGTGGCTTCTCCATATCTTCCTGGCTGTAAGTAAGCCGCTTGTTTGGCATTTCGTTGGATTCATCCTGGCCAGATGTTCCAGGCAATGGAACAGGGTCCTTTATGTAGTTTGGATTCTCTTGGACTACTTGGTATGGAGGTGTAGATGCCTTCTGGCGGTCCAACCTTTGAAGGCTTTGTTCCAATTTCGAAAGATTTTTCTCAGCTTCGATAATTTTTTGCAAAGCAACGCTATTATCGGCTCCATTTCTTGCCCATTGTAAAAATCGCTTCTGACACCATGCAATACGAGCTGCCGCTAAGTCAACTCTGGCAGAAATTTGATCTATTGATCCACCAGAGGTTTTGTTTATATTTTCAATGTATTTATCGACATCTTTCTGTATTGCTACGTTATTGGTTTTGAACTCAGTCCAATCGTCCGATAATTTTTCGAGATTTAACTGAGCAGATTTAGAAACCGTGTTTAACTGCCTATTTACTACTCTTACCTTCAGCCATTTTTGATGGTGTATTTCTGTACGCTGTTTCTTTATCTCATCCTTCAATTGAGTAACAATTTGATTTAATTTGTTGACAACGTATTGAATATTCTCATCTGATGTACCATCAAATGAAGCAATCTTCGATTCATTGTCTTGTAATGCTTTCGCTAGTTTGTCGAGTTGTTCATTCGTTGAAATAACTTCAGATTGTTGCATTTTCGTTTTTTCTTCAGCAGCAGCCGCGTTCATGTCATTTTTTCCCATCTTTTTATCAAACGCGATGGACTGCTCACTCAGATGAGCAATTAGCCTTTGATAATGCTCAGAAACCATGTTGTTCACGCCTTCGTCTCTTAAGTATTTCAGCATGCGATTGGCGTTCTTCAGCTGTTCCATCATACGTTGGAATTCTCTGTATTGAGCTAAAATCGACTGAACAGTAGATTCGAGTTCTTGAACTTTCAAATCAGCATTTACGAACCTTGGACGTAATGTTTTGATTTTACCACGTGCATTCTCGAAGATTTTCTCTGCGTTCATCGATACATCATCTGATTTTTGCTTCAAATCTCCTACCGATTGAATTGTTTCTGTTGTTTTCGTTTGGGTGATACCGTTAATCCAATCTGTTCGCTTCACTTGTTTCGAAACTAGATCTGTTATGTTCTCAAACTCTGTTTTGACTTTGTTTGTAATCACTGTTTGGCCCAAATCTAAGTCTGTGCGCTTCCTTTTGATGTGGGTGAGCGTTTCAGCGCACATGGAGTTTAGCCTTTGCTCAATATTGGCTAAAGTCTTTCGATTGGCGTCAGTTTGGTGTTGATATAAAGAAATCTTTGGTTCTGTAGCTGTCATGAATGATTCAGTTTGCAGCTTAGTCTCTATGGAATGACGCCTAGTGGCTATTGAGTTATTAAGAAACTCAGAGTTGAGATCAGATAAAAGTTTTTGGGTTTTGAAAGCTTGTTTTGCTGTCTGAGGTGACTTATTCGGAAGAAATGGAAGACTTGGTGCAGACCCATGCACATTCGCCTTATACAGTCGATCCTGGGTAACTGCTGTTACCGACAGCATCGATGTAATAACGTATAATTTACATTTCCCAATTTTGTATGAGGATATTCAATCGAGAAAGAGTTCAGTTTTCCATCAAATTATTTTTATTTATTCTAAACAACGAATATTCGAAATTCAATTTTGTCCTTTTCCATTCAAAATTTCCTGTGTTGGTATAATATTTATCCTTACTAAGTGACTACAATTCTTTCAAATTATCTCAGTTTTATAATTTAGGGTTCGCATTCAAATTTTTAAATGCATACCATTTAAATTTGAGAGAAATAATCAATAGATAGACCATAATTACGAATATCATATCATTTGTACGACTCATTCAAACGCAAAATTCATTAATGTTGCACATCTGTCTTATTTATAAGATAAGTTGTTTTTCTTAATACTAAGTAAGCAAATATGGAAACACTTGTGTTTAAGATTGTCAGTGGATTTACAGAATAAAGCTGAAAGATTACAGTGATGCATCAAATCCATTATCATGGAACCAACTCAATAGCCAACCATCTCAAACTGTAGGCTTGATAGATAGTATATAATTAATCATATAAGATTCTCTCAAAAAATATCATTTGGACCAAAGCAGTGATTCTCTCTATTTTTAATTTTAAACAAAGAATCGAAAAACAAGCATAGATATAGATCGCAAATTGTAAAAACAGATATGTGACGAGAGGCATTATGATACCGAAAGCTAAATGAGAATTATTGAGAGTAAGGTCGCCAAAAAAAGTGCGGAAATTGAAAACCACAGTTTGAGCACTTTCTGAGAGTCTGTTCGTCAGAAAATATACATTTGTAAACTTTCTGACACTAAAATTTTTTTATCCTTTCAAAGTTTTTGTCAATGTCAAAAAGTATACATCGGGGCTCTCAATTTTCCTCTCAAACGGCGTTTTTTTAAAAACGCTCATTTTTTCATCGACCTTACATCGGGGTTCTCAATTTTCCTCTCAAACGGCGTTTTTTTTTAAAAACGCTAAATTTTTATCGACCTTATATATATATTGGGACATATATTCTATTTCCATGTTCAATATATCCTTATTAGTGACTTGGAAAATCAAGAGTACTCAAAAATATCAAGATGTATTTCATGATAATTAGACTAAGATTTAAGTGAGATGTTTAGTGATGAAAGAAAAACACAAAGAAAAGAAATATATTCACTATGTTGAATGTTTTCTTTGATTTCATAAATAATAGGAATATCTGCATAACAAAGAGCAGTTGAAAAATGAGAAAGATTATGAGTAAATTCATTTGTGATTTTATTTATAATGGTAACTGCTCCTTCTGTTACTGGAGAATTGTTATCAATGTAACATCCATCTAATGTAATTTTACTATCACCTCGAAAATAAGCATTATTACTAATAGGATCGTTATTTATAAAACTACTATTTTTGATATTAACTGGAGCAGATTGTGCCAAAAGAAGAGCTCCAATGTTATTTAAAATGTTACAATTTCGAATTTCAAAAGTTTCTTGAGAATTTTTGTGATTGAATTTATAATTACCACTTCCAATTGTTGAATTAGAAAAAGTGGAAAATGAACAATTTGATCCTTTTGAAAATGAATAAACTTCATAATAATGTCTATAATATATTTTCGAAAATGAAATGTTGATTGATTTAATTTCGATTTGGCCGTTTATTAAATAAAGATTATATCTTCCAAGTTCACTTTCATCTCCACTTTTACTAATAGAGGAATCATAAATATAATTTTTGTAGGTATTACTATTACTAACATCAATTTTACAGTAAACACCTTCTGTATATAGTGTGTTTACTTTAGAAGCGAAACTGCAGACACGATCTTGAACAAATTCGCCTTCAGATTGATAGAAAATACAACCGCCTGTTTGACTGTTACTACAATTATTAAATGTTGTAGTATCAATGAGGAATTTGATTGTATTTTTTTGTGTGTTTAAGTAAACTGAACCTTGTGTGTTTACTTGAGTGAAAAAGCATGATGAAACATAATAACTGCTTTCTTTCGCTTCGAGTTTACTATTATTTTTTGCATATTTTTCGTATGTTTGTGTGTTTGGATAAAATTCTGTCCAATCTTCGTGAATTTCAATTCGAGTTGCATTGGTAAGCTTAGAGTTAACGAATATTGAATGATATTCATTTCAAAATAAGATTTATGAAATAGTTTTTATCCCCTTATAAAAGGGAATTTTGCTATTCCATAAATTTTGGATAAAAAAGTGCTTTTCAAAAATTGTCAAAATGTAATCCGATTTCAAGTAAATATAGAATTCAATATTTTTCGGAGATACTGATAGACAAAATATATAAATAGACGATGTCAGTTCTGCCAAAACAAAAGATAGAATAATTAAAACAATGAGAAGAATGATAAAAAATTAAAAATAGAAAATATGATTTTATATAGAGAAAGAAATAACTATAATTTCGCCTTTTTCGGTGAGTGCAGCGGCAACATTGGGCATCGTAGCAAATGAAATTTCAAGAACTTGTGATGTTGGTTTGATCAAAAGTTCGTTTTCGCCTTTCAATGAAACAAAATCAACAATGTAGATTTCGTTTGATGATGTCAAAACACAAACTTTGTTCTTTGAACCGCCAATCCATCGGATGTTGCTGTTGAACTCTCGTTCACAAACTTTATCACCATTGATAGTGTATGAGAACAATTTATTTCCACTGGAGAAGTAAATGAATGATGAAATACCAGCAACACAAATGTGGCGAGGAACAAAATCGATTTCAATATCGTGGATGATTTCACCCAATGTCAATGAGAAAACTGAAATACATTTGCATTCATGACCAATAACTAAAAGTGATGATTCTGAATCAAGAAAAACACTTGTAACATTTCCTCGGAATGATGGTAAAATATAGAGATGGTTATAAGGAGATCGAGTGCTCCAAACATTGATGAAGTTGCTCTCATGCACACATGCAATTTGTTCTGTGCCCGCATCTAATAGTTTGATTGGAGAATTAAAATATGAACCACATAATTCGACGGTTTCATCACCAAATAAAACATATACTTCGCCATGTCGATTTCCAATGGCTGTTTTTGTATGTGAGATATCGGAAATGCAGTTACGGTGGATGTCACCGATATCGAGTTTCATGTTTGTTTCTTTAGTAAATAGTGTCATGTTTTGTGTGACAACATATCGGAAGATTGGTTCATGAGGTTTCAAAACAACTAATGAAGAAACACACCCTGAAACTCGTTGTTCTGGAATGATCTTGGCAGATTTGATGTCTTCAATGTTCGTCTCAATTGTAACTGGTTCTTTAGCTTCGAATCGTTTTCGTTTAGGATGTTCTTTGTCAAATAATTTAACCGGGTTTGTTCGAATGAAATTAAGCTCAACATCGAATTCGGCTCTTCGTTTGACATCATTGACAAATTTGTCGTCGAAGTCTTCAATAGACTTGTAATATGAGTAGATGCCGAAAACACGGTCAATGAATGAAACAACCAAGTCATCGTTTCGTTCAAGATTTTCGTTGTTCTTTCGAATGAAATCAAATATACTGTCACCTTTTTCAAGAAACGTGACACTGTTTGGTAAACAAGCTGTTGATGAGTAGAATTCTGGTGGATAATATGAATTGACTCTTGAAATGTTTTTGACAAGATTTTTGTCAACTTTGCCGTTACCCAATTCTTTCAATATGGTTTTATATGGTTCAACATTCCCTAACATGTCTAAAACATTTCGTGTGTTGTAATATTGTGTAACTTCCGTGTTGAAATTTGGCATTATAGGATAAATAGAAAGTTTGTTGAATGATCGACCAGAAATATCATTCAAAATACATAAATAATCAAATGTAGTCAATTCATAATTCAACCATCGTTCGGTGATTTTAGTTTGTAACAAGTATTCGGATGGTTTCTTAGTCATGACTTCGATACTTTCGAATCCTTCAAGTTTAGAAATAGAATTCAAAACTGTAAGTGAGTTGAAGTTTTCGAGAATAACTAAATAACTCTCTCTGATTGTAGTGAATATTTCTAAACCAATAGGTAATCCATCGATCTCGCGGAACATGACTTTTTTAACATTTGAATGATCGAATGTCAATATTAAATTGTTTGAAACGTATCTGATCTCGAATGATTCTGAAAGAACAGAGAAAACAATCTCTTCAGTAAAATTGCTGATGTAATGGAGTTTAGCTGGTAAAACAAAATTCTTTTTATCGTTGAAAAATTCGAATTTTGGAATAGACAAATTTGGTTTGTTCTTGTATTCTTCGATCTTTTCTTTCTTCATCTTTTCCATCTTCTCTGAAATACACTGACTGATATCTCCATACTCTTCTTGAATTTCTTCTGTCTTTTCAATTTCATTTTGATTCGTTTCTTTCTTTTCATCACCTTTCTTTTCTTCTGTTTGATTTCCTTCAACTTTTTCTGTCACTTCACTTTCATTAATTTTGTCAGTTTCTTCAACTTTCTTTTCTTCTGTTTTCTTTGAAACTTCAACATTCTTTTCTTCAGATTTTTCTGTCACTTCACCTTTGTTTTCAGAATTCTTTTCTTTATTTTCATTTTCAGATTGAATAGATTTTGGAAGAGGAATGTCAGAATCCTTTAAATCTTTGATAGAAATAGATTCCATTGGGATGAAGTTATGTCCACAAGTTCTTGTAATAAATGTCATATTCTTGTCATTATTTTCATTCAATAATTCCCAAGGAGCTCCTTTAGAAGTTGCATATTTAATCAATCTATTTGCATCTTTCTTGAATGTCAATTTCAGTTTTGCGACATAACCAGCGAATTGAAGAGTATCTTTGTAGTTCATTGAGTTTGTTTCTGTGTCAGAATTAGCGAAAATCAAATCCATTTTCTCCAAAACTCTTTCAGAAAATCTTTCCAATTTCTTTGTTACAGCTTTAGTTTGTTTCATCAATCCTTCATTATATTCCTTAGTTTGTTCTAACAATTGCTCAATGCAATCTGTGTTTATCTGCTTGCCTTGATATCTCTTATCTCTGTGCTGTATCAAATTCAAGTAGATTTCATTAGATACTTTCATATTTATCAATGTAGAAATTGCTTCATAAGATTCTTTAGGTTTATCCGCTAAACTAAATGCAGCAAAAATACAACTAGTGTTGTGGAATGTTTCGCATTTAGTTCTGCATGCTTGTTTGCATAATAATAAATCTAATTCTGCGTCCAACCATTTACCATCTTCAGAAAATCTCAAACCGTATTTATATTCAAAAACAAATTTATCGTCATTCATCTCAGAAATTTTTGCTCTTAAATCTTGTTTTGTAAACTTCTTCTCAATTTTTTCGGTTTGATTCAAAATTTTTTCAACAGAACTTTGTTGTTCGAAAATAGAAGTTTGCAAAACGTTTTTCGTCAAAGAGAACTTTGTATCAGAAGGTCTGTAGAACATGAAGAAAGTTGCCAAATCCCAGAATTTATGTTGTTCCTGGAATTTCATCAAAGGATTATCCAAAATTCTTTGTGTCAAATATTTCATGAACAAACCTTGATATTCTTCGAAACTGACTCCAAGAGCTCTTCCACAGACTTCTATTGCTGATAAAGTGAAACTCCATTCGAATTCTGTTGATTCGGCAATGAATTTCATCACGAATTCTCCGTATTCACCTCTTTTTGTCAAAGCGGTTATAATTGGCCAGATACACCATTCCTTTTTCTTTCCGAAATCGAAGTTTGATTGCAAATGAGTCATTACTAACTCAATGCATTGATTGTCATCGATTCTGGACATCATGTAGAACATGAGTGTCACGAAATCAGGGTATTTCATGACTAAAGGAACAATCATACTGAAATTCTCGTAATTGAAGAAATTCGGAGGAATGAAATCCATCAAAATACTCGAATGAATGTTTTCTTTGATGTCTTTGATGGATCCTGTGACATGCAAGGCTGCAAACACTTCAAGACAGTTGAAAACAAGCGTGGAATTCGAGTTATTCAGTAAATGATGTAATAAAAGAAAAGCTGACAAATATTCTGTCACTTTTTGATATGGTTGATCTTCATTCAACGCTAGGAGCTTCACGAGAACAATTAGATCGTTGACTTGTTGTGAATCAGGAATTGTCACACAATGGCCAATCAACGATGTCAAGTAGTTCTCTTTAAAGTCTCTTATCGCAATATTATATAATATCTGAGTGATGTTTGATCTGATAACGCTAATTGAGAGCATTGGATCGCGTGGATTATCACTGGATGGTCCGTATTCCGTATATTCGCCTTTTTCTTCCGTATACCAGAAATATGTTCTCATTGAGGACAAAATTGTTTCGAAAGGCTTGGCTTCCATGGCTTCTTCGATATGTTCGTTGAAAACAATCCTAGCCCAGTGCCTTGTGACTAATTTCAGTTGTTCATTAGTCGCATGAGCCCATAAAGCGTAATTTAATATGATGGCCTTCAAAAGCTGCTTCTTAAATGTCTTGTCTTCAATGGTTTTGTAAAGACTGTAGCACTTTTTGTAAAATCCGTAAGTAAGGTTTTGATGTCTTTGATCTATAAGGAATCTGGCGATGATACGGAAGCCAGAGACCTTAACAAACTGGTCTTGAGCGAGTTTCGACGTTTGTAAGATTTTCATAATTAATTCTATCATGGTAATCATGAAACTCTGTATCTCATCTTCAGCAGAACAGAATTTATCGATCATTGAGAACAGTGGAATGAGAGTGTGAACACCACAAAACTCAATTAAAATATCAAAGACGCATCTGAGCTGTTTCTGCTTCTCCCCGACGAATTTGATCGAAACATTGTCACTAACAAACGCAGAAATGATGATTTCATCGTTATTTCCGAAAGATGGAACAAGTTGATAAGAATTATCGTCTGTAATTTCGAATCTCGGGCCAAACTTGTAGAGGTTCGATAGAAATTCTTCATCCAATGGTAAATTGATGCACATTGGGCCAAGCATTGGCCAATTTGGTGTAAGATCGTGAGATCCAATGAATTGGATCTTTGCAGTACCATTACTAAATGAGTCAAGTTGTACTTGTACTTGTGGAGTGCGTTTTCCATTTAATATGGCTGAAATTAAATAATAATTTTGAATTCTTTCGAAATCAAGGATAATAAATGTCCAGGATCCCGATTGTACTCTAGTGTTTGGTAATTTCATTATATTCGAGCTTCTCCAGACTTCATAAAAAATTTCATTATTTGTAACTGAAAATCTGACTTGTTCTTTGTCATCAAGCAACAGAGTAAACAAATATGTGGAGAATGTATCGGGGACTTCATCGGGAATGAATATCCACTGACCAATGTTGAAATGATTTCGGAAATAAGTTTTCGGATTTATTGTTACTTCGAGAGTTGGAGCATCAGGTGTCAATGAAAAGAAAGCTCTTGGGCGAGCAGCACATGCGTTGATTGTATCATTGAAAGAAAGAACTAAAGATGAATGCAAATTCGATATATATTTGTCTTCTGAGAGTTGTAAGAGGTTTAATGATGCTTTTAGGATTTCTTCAGACGAAATGTACTGTGAAAACTCGCTTATTATCATTACACTTTGACCTATTAATGGCTTTAATTCGGAATCCTTCGAGTTAACTATTAATTCCAGTAACTTAAGTTCTAATTTTTTGTTATGGAGATCTAATATGTAATACGGAGAAAATTTAATGAGAAAATAAACCAAATCGAGAAATTTTGGAAGTTTAGGATTTTCTTTTAGATCCTTGTACATGTTTTCGATCTGGATATTCGTATAGTTAGAATTTAGTTCTATTAATCCGAGCAGATCTGAAGGAATGGAAGACATATTAAAAAAAAGTATTTGAAATCTGATTTTCTGTGAACGGATTTCACTTCTAATAAATCTTTTCAGCTATCCTAACAGGAATATTCTTCGAAGTTTTTTCGTAAAATTTGTTATCCACCATCAAAAAGGTTCTCAAAAAATTTTAGAACCGATCAACTTAATGTTCTGGAGTTTAATTGGTTAAGGTCACCGGGAGATTAATTACAAATATATCCTTTAATGGTGAAAATTTGTGAGTTATTTCTTAGAGCAGATTCGACCAAGTTGAATTTTCATATTAGTACTTTGGTAATTAGTCCATATGACTTAAAATACAATATATACTCATTTTCACAATGTAATTTCGAATTGGGTTAGATTAATCCAACAAATTTCTCGAAGAGCATTAAATTAACACAAAAAACTAAAAATCTCATCGGGATAGTTCACATCCAATATATGAAACGCCTGGCACCGGAAACATTGGGGTCATGAATAAAAATAGCAAATTTCGATTTTTTTTGGCAAGTTAATGCCAAACTCTTTTTGAAATTCTTTGATTATATTAAAGAAGTGTTGCAACATATCTTTAGTAATCACTGCAAGTGGATATTTAGCAATAATAAATCAAATCAATAAAATAACACATATCACATAAAAAATGGATCGAAACTAATTACAAAGCATACTGGAATATGTAAACAATTCAATGTTTTAAACGAAAATCAGATATTCCATCAAGAATGTTTAGTCTTCTAATTTCAGAAGAGCCAATACGTATTCCAAGATGATCATGTAGATGTTTTAGAATTGTTTCAGTTTCAGATCAAATCTCAATACTCAATTCGCAGAAATTTAAGAATGAAGTTTATATGAAGGCCTTGGGGTCATACAAGAACCATCTTGCATGTACTATAACCCTCAGTTTGTTCGGACGTTTTCAGAATACACGACTAAAGAGCCGCGACTCTGTGTCACGCCGAATGGCCAACGATTATTTCGGTTGCATTTGAGATGTTTATTTTTGGCCAAGCAATTGATATAAAAATATCGATTCCGGATTGATTTTGACATAATTCGTTTAATGCTTTTGATGTTTTACTTTAATTATTGAGTTATGATTGCATTTATAAATGTTTATATTTTAATGAGGGAATTAATTGCTGATTTGCATCGCTTACATAACAATTGAACGATAATTTTGACGGCAAGGATCCACACTTTCTAATTATATGAAATAGAGGGATGTCACGATTACATCTGATTCAAACATTTCCGATTTCATAAAAATTTTCAAAATTTTTATTCTAAAATTTCATTGTTTCGTATAAGTGTTTGAATATGTCTCTTAATAGAGGTAAAATTTCAGATAGCGATTCGATCAATTGATGATTGAAATTTACGTGGCATTTTCAATGCTTCTGACTATGTAAATCTCTCAATTCAGAACCCATTAATACAATTTGATAAATAAAATGTCGATGGTTTGACAGAATGAGTGAAGATGAACATCCTATACCAACAGGGTCCGTAACAATACAAGGTTCATTAAAACACAAATGGCCTGTTCTTGGTATATGGGACACCAACAATTATTGGTTAATCGGAAACAAATTATACGTTTCTAAAACAGATAAACTCGAGGATTACAAAGAAGTAATCGAAATCACAAAAGATACAAACATTATTCTCGTAGACAGAAAGAAGAATCCTCATTTTATTATCGAAAATGAAAAAATCGGAAAATATCTTCTTAAATCTAACGCTGCTGAAGTTTACCCATGGGTTTTCGCTTTACGTGCTTGCCTTTATACAGAACACGGCTATTCCATGGACCAATTCAGAATTATTTCTGTTTTGGGTCGTGGATTCTACGGAAAAGTCATGCTCGTCGAAAAACTCGATACAGGTAAGTTGTACGCACTTAAGACAGTTCGTAAAAAGAAATTGATTGAAATGGGACAAGTAGATACAATTATTGCCGAAAGAAACCTTCTTTTCTCAATTCCTCCACATCCATTTATCATTTCTGCAGAGTTTGCATTCCAAACACCCTCTAAGTTCTACATCGGCCTGGAATACGCCGCTGGAGGCGAATTATTACATCATCTTTCTAATCTTCCAGTTGTTCCAATCGAAGACACCAAACTCTACATGGCTGAAGTTGTCCTTGCACTTCAGCACCTCCATACTAATCATATCGTTTACAGAGACCTCAAACCAGAAAATGTTTTACTTGATAAGAGCGGCCACGTCAAGTTAACAGACTTTGGCCTCTGCAAAGAGATTACAGAAGAAGGTGCCAAGACATTCTGCGGAACAGCGGAGTATTTGGCCCCAGAAGTTGTATTAAGATTAGGATACGGTTTCAAAGTAGACTGGTGGGCACTTGGCGTCCTCTTATACGAAATTTTGTTCGCAGGAACACCTTTCTACGATGATAACCAAGCTGTATTGTTTGATAATATTGTTAATGAAGAACCTAACTATCCAAAGTTTGGCCACAAAGCAGCCATCGATCTTATCAAGTTGCTCCTCCAAAAGGAGCCAGAAAATCGTCCAGATTTCGAACAAATCAAAGAACACGCTTTCTTCAAGGGAATCGACTGGGACAAGGTTTTGAGGAAAGAGGTCCAGCCAAAGAACTTCAGACAAGTCGATGAACTCGATCCAGAGAACTTTTGTTCTGATTTCACAAATGAGCCACCACTCGACTCTGAAGCTCTCCCTGCTTCATCAGCATACAGAGATATCGATGGTTTCTCATTTGGAGGAAGCATGAACTTTGATGAGCCCAAAGAATAAAGATCTATAGACTTTTTTTGACAAAATTTATTTTTCACAAGCAAAACCAATAAAAAGACATTAAACTTCTAATTATATTGTAAGATTTTTTTGAAATTTCCTTTTTTTCCCCCTCAATGTTTGCAATTTAACAATATTACATCAATCATCATTTAAACTAATAATTTGTTGATGATTTAAAATATCAAGACGTGTTTCTAATTTCAATTTGAATTATTACTTATAGATTTGTATAATTAACATTGCTCCAATATCAAAAGTTATATGCATAGAACATAGTAACAGAAAGTATTAGCTAAGATATGAATTTTAATTGATATCTCATACTCCAACATATAAGTGGATTTATGAGACATGGAGAATTACGTCTTCAAAGAAATGATGTTGTTAAAGCACATTCAGCATTTACGCATGCTCATACATTGAATGCTGCAATTGATTCATTCAGTGCTATTGTTCAATGCGATTGTTTATTGAAGAATTGGGAAGAAGCTGAGTCATTTGCTGCAGCAGCAGTTAAGAAGTTTAAACCAGATTCATATGCAGGGAATATGGCTATTACTCTTTACGGACTTGCAAAGAGAGGAACTGATCCTAAAAAAGCTAATGAAATATTAAGAAGATGCTTAGGAAAAGATAGTCAAAATATTGAAGCTTTGTCAGCTTTGATAGAGATGCATGTTAAAGAAAACGAATTAGATCAAGCCGAAACATTACTTCAGAAACATCGTACTACTAAGAATCTATTCTTCTTTAACTATAAGATGGCAGAGATATACTCAGTAAAGAGAGATTATCAAACAGCTATGGATTATGCCCAAAAAGCTTTGCAAATTGAACCAAATAATGAACGAGCAATGGATCTTCTCGAACAGCTTGAAGGGGTTTTGAGAGATAATGATGAGGAATTTGAAGAAGATGACATTGATCTGTAATTTTATTAGAGATATTAGGTAAATTTGTTTTTCATGTATATATTATTTTTAATTTAACGATCAGCAATATTTATATTTTGATATTAGCTGTTAACAAAATACTATCGTCTCGCTAGTTAGGATTGAGTTTTGAAATTTATCAAAATCCGTTGTCTGAATCTACAAAACATGATTTTGATCATAAAATAAGCTGTAAAACATTCCAGGATATACGTTGAAAAAAAAAAAAAAAAAAAAAAAAAAGGTAGTGGGGCTTCCAGGCACTTCGTGCCTTCTAGCCCTGAGGATGATTGGTATAATGAAGTTTTTTTTTTCTTGGGGTGGCCTTCCAGGGGCTGCGCCCCTTCTAGCCCACATAAATGAAGTTCTTATTTGGAGGGCTTCCAGGCACTTCGTGCCCTCTAGCCCTAAGAATTTTTCCCAAGACCCAAGAGGAGGACCGAACCCCAGCCGACCAGCCGTTGACTTTTTTGTCAAGACTTCTTCGTAAATGTTTTGTCAAGACTTCTTCGTAAATGTTTTGTCAAGACTTCTTCGTAAATGTTTTGTCATGATTTCATCGTAATGAGCGTAAATGACCAAAAAATAATGTTTATGTTAGAATGTTAGATCTAACACCTTTTCTAACATGTTTTCTAACATCGTAGAAAACTCATGAATTTCATCGTATATGTTTTGTCAAGACTTCTTCGTAAATGTTTTGTCAAGACTTCTTCGTAAATGTTTTGTCAAGACTTCTTCATCGTAAATGTTTTGTCAAGACTTCTTCGTAAATGTTTTGTCATGATTTCATCGTAATGAGCGTAAATGACCCAAAAATATAATTTAGGTGAAGAGGTGAGATGTCACCCGTTTTCTCACCTGTTTTCTCACCTCTTGAATTTTCATGATTTCTTCGTAAATGCTTTGTCGAAACTTCTTCATCGTAAATGTTTTTAACTTCACTTAAAATGCCACGTAAGCTACGTAAGAATATACGTAAGAGGAAGAGAGCATTGAAACATCCAATAGTAAAACTAACACCACAACAACAGTTGCAACAACAAATTATGAATGACCCACTATGTTGCAACAAATGTCAAGCAACCTATGCTTTTAAACCGAGTTATTGGTGCACAAAGTGGAGGTTTAAGAGGCGGCACTTTTAGCGAAAATGGCAGGCTATGGTGGAGCTGCAGACGGAACAGCCTATAACCCTCAAGTCAAATGAATTTGAGTTCACTCAAAAATCAAATAACAGATGTCAAAAAGTCAAACATAGACATACAGAACAAATAAGTGAAACGAAAAGAAACTAAAATGACAGACACACAAAAACTCAATGAGTTAAACGTAGAGAAAAAGAAGAAGAACAACTGGAAAGAACTAAGTACAGAGGAATATGCGAAAAAAGTGTCAGAAAAAGCACAGAAGTAGCAAAAATGGAACAAGATGTTATAAATTTGAAAAACCATACTACTCAATATAAAATACTGAAAGAAAGAAATAAACAAAAAGCCCTGAAGACATATATGGATAGCGATGGTATTAAAAAAAGAAGTTGAAGCAAATGTAAAGCAGAAAAACTTTTACAGTTGCAAACCAAACCGTACAGTATGAAAACTTAGCACAAGAAAGTAAAAATAACGACGCGGCTATGCAAAAGGCAATGAAAAAGCCAGATATATATAAAAGCTAACAATGACTGGTTAGATGCCCAAGCCAACGCTAAAGCAGCCCAACTCATAGGGTCAATAAGGACAAAAATACAAGCGGATTGAAGACAGTTCAAATGAAGCTTTAACAAATGCTGACTTTAAGAACGCTTTCGAAGCTCTTCATAAGTTTGAAACAAGTGAACGACTTCCATCTGGAAAGAAACTGAAGTCTGAAGGTTTCGACAAAGAGTTAAAAGAAGTAGCACAAAATATGACGAAAAAACAGATGCAGCAACGAGACAGGCAGTTCAAAGTGCCTATGACGCCGTTAGAGCAAACTGTGTGGAAAAGTCAAGAAAAAGAGTTACAACAGACCAAAACAGACCTAGTAATGCTTTCTTAAGAACGAAAGTCAGGTAGGACATTATGCTGCAGATGGAACATATGGCCAGCTGTGGAACTTATATACCACCAAACCCTCCAAGAGAAGCACCTGCACCAGGACTACCTAAAACATTTACATCGTCACATGGACACAGACACAGGCATGCACCAAAACCAACAGTTCAAAACCCTGCACAACAACAACAACAACAACAACCAACAGTTCAAAACCCTGCACAACAACCACCTCCACAACCAGCACCACAACCAGCACAACAACCAGCACAACAACCAACAGTTCAAAATCCTGCACAGCAACAACCACAAACAGAGCAAGGACAAAGAAGTAGAAACAAGAAACCAAGAATTCTTAAAAATGCTTAAAGAAAAGTGTGGTTTCCCAGATACTGTTGACTTTAGTGACAGATATAAAGAAGCTATTAGAAAGTTCAAAGGATGGAAATACTGACCCGAACCTATTTAGCTTTATGACTCAGCACAAATGGGATATAATTTCAAACCTGGAAAATACAAGCTCGCTAAGGATATGATTTAATAGCATATCATCCAAATGAATGGATGAATTTACTCCGAGATATTTGATGTCAGAGCTAAATGACAATTCAACTTTCGTCATGAAACGCGTAAAAAATAGAGACGGAACGAAAGAACAAAAGCTTATGAATGCGGATGACGTAGATAGGGAAATTGTTGAAAACGGTCTCGAATATATGAAATGCCAGCAGATGAGGTACAAAAACTCCACAGGAAGAAGTTCAGATACAACCAGACATGAAGAAATAGTTCAGCAACAACAGCTAGAAGAGCCTGAAGGAAACGAACAAGTCACTCCTTTGGAAACTAACTTCACAGAACTAGATGAAGATTGGAACAGCCGAAAAATCTTGACCCTCAACAAGAGTATGCGGAGAATAGAATATTTCCAAGAGTCTAAAAAAAATTCGGCTGACATAGTAGAAGAAATATCGAAAAATGTTTGCCGACATACAAAAGACTCCAACACCAGATGAAAATATTCAGCATAGAATGGAAGTACTGAAAGAAAATGTACACAATACAACAACCCTTTTTACTACGAGCATTTAACGTTCAATCTTCGGATGAACTCGGTGAAAATAAAAGGTTAAATTTCAAGAAAACATATAGAAAAAACATTTAAAGTTCATTCAGAACCTAACCAAGATTGGAAACAAACCTACTTTGTTTCTGCAGACGATGGAACTACAATGAGATGGGGTCATAAAGCTAACCCGGATAGGTGGTTCATAAACTTACAACCTCAATTCCAAGAAGTTGTAGACGCAATGGAAGTCAATGGTGAACCAGATATAGCTGGTATTTTAAGCGCGGCTTTAATGCCATTGAAAGATATGAAACATGCAGATATTTTGGACCAGTATGAAATGAACATGGCTGATGGAAATATAACACCTGACGTTCTAGAACATTTATCTCAAAGAACTACACAAAACCATAAAGATGGTATATTTGGTGAAGAGTTTAGAAAGAGAGTTAGGGAGAGAGAAGGAAGAGAACCTATTGTACATGACCTTGCAAACGAAAGTTTGCAAAATGTCATAAAAACTTACTTTGCAGACAATGAACCGAGAAGGGATGAATATTTAAGAAAACTCAAATGGACAGTACCAAATGAAATGTTAGTATTGAAAAACATGTTCCTTGACAAAATAAAACCAACTACAGAAATAAACGACGCAAGACTGAAAGATTGGGTAAAAGCTTTCCCATTCACAAAAGATATAGTTGGTAACATGGAAAGAAAACCAGAATGGCTACAAAAACATATATTTGGAAACGAGCATATTCCATATGGACAGGCACTGTTTGAAGAGCTTGAACCGGAAACTCAGGAAAGAGTCATGCAAACAATACGCGAAGACTCAAATACAGACTATGACAAACTCTTTCTAGGATATAGGTTACCTGAGATGGGCGACCAGAGCCAAAAGGCAAAAAGGACATGGGAAATTTGCAACATACTAGATGAACATAATGCAAAGATGCAACAACTTCAAGCAGAGGGCAATGAAGGAAAAAGAAGAGTTAAAAACTCAGTCAGGAAGAAAGTAAAGCTTGGTCCACGTGGGTTCTATTATGACATATAAATCCAACTATTCTATATTTTTACTCATATGAAATGTACGCCGCTCAGAATATAACGCCAACAGTTTTGGATGCTATGAATGGAAATGTTTCCGAATGGTATAACGAATGCGACAATGCCATTAGAAGGTCAGAAATAGTTCCTGGAACTTACGAATATACAACTGCTGTTTCTTATGGAAACGTAGGTGAGTTTGGAGAAGGTTCTTCAACAACAGTAGATATTGCTTGCGACAGGTTTCATATTATTTCTATTGACAACTCTTTCTTATACGTGGAACAAGACATTGAAATAAAACCTTCTGCCAAGTTGTCTGACAAGAAAGGTTGCAATGGGATTTTCTATGTCGGATACCAATATGCTCCAGAAGTTTTCATGGGATATAAGATATATTCTAACTCTGACTTAGTTCAAACAGTAACATGGGCAAACTATGAATGGTTCGCTTTGAGAAACTCAGTACAACCACAAGCTAGAGAACAAACAGACCAGTATGCAACTATTGAGAAAATAAGAAGACTTGACCCTAACGTTCCAGGAGTTTATGTTAACCTTTCTGGACAAACTGCAGCAGCAGTAACCAAAGTAAAACTGAAACTTAGAGTTCCTTTGTCATCTTTCCTCATCTTCAGGTTTTTAAGATACTTGCCAAACTGGGCAGGAAAAATTTCTATTGAACTTACTCCAAGCAAAAATAACTTAGTCATTGCACCAACACAAGACCCATTCACTATTACAGACGTAGAGGGAACAAATAAAACGTCATTCGCCGACTTTTGCAAAGACAAAGTTGACTTAGACTTTGGTTTCTCAAACCTCAACACTGAAGTAAACTATTATTTCAATGCTGCTGGAACTGCTTGGGACCCAGTTAAGTTCACATGCGAAAAATTTGAATGCAAGAGAATAGAAAGCAGACTTGCAGTCTATATGTTGGACCCAGATATTTCAAATGCTTTAGCTGCCAAATATATTGCAGTTCCACTTATGTTCCCTATACACCAAATATCTGTCAAAGACTTTGCAGGTGAAGTTGGAAACCAAAGTGCTGACCCAGGTGCAAGAACAGATATTGCTTTAAACAACTGCAATGAAACATGCAGATACTATGTTTGTACTGTTCAGACGAACTATAAATGACTATTCTTGTTTCTACAACCCCGGTATTAAATATCATATAAACATAGATGGCAAATATTATCCAAGAGAAGAATATTCTACAGTTGAGGATATGAGGTCATACAACTTGACATTAGATGCTATGAACTTTAACAACAACTTCACAACAACCATTAACCCTGAAATGCAAAGTTCTATTATGCCATATGTGAAAGTATGGACTCATACAGGAGGTCAAAAACTCAATATACAAATGGAGACCGTTCAAACTTTTGGCTTGGCATTCCATTTGCTGACTCAGAAGACTTTATGGGTGGTATTTCAACTGTTGGTACTGTACAAATACAATATACTGGTGACAGAGACGGTCCAGATGAACTGAGAGCAAAGAAGTTTACAAAACCAATAGCACTTTTCACGGAAGATGCTCTTTTGAAGATTCGTTCGATGAAACCTGCTGGGGCTCCTCAGATTGGCATAACGACAGCTTCCATCGAGCAGATTTTGGCAGCAGGTCAGTAAGTTGTTCTTGAACTGACTTCTCTCCGTCAAATATTGACAGTACGCCAGTTTTGACATAATATTGTAAGATAAACTTACCTTTAGAAATATCTGTAAGTTTTGAAGTTATATTTTTGTCAACGTCAAGAACTTTCACCATTTCAGTTATACCAACTTTCTTTGCTTTATGAAAATATTTGGTTCAGCAAATATTGCTATTCTATAACATTTTCCATTGTTTGTATAAAGAACTATTCTGTCAATGAACTTGTATTGTTTGTGTGTGTAAACTTTGTTTTGCTTCAATTCGAAGAGATACTCGAATACGTCCATCTTTTTATTCTAAGTAAAAATGTCATTTCCGAAAAATAGAAGCGTAAGTGTTTCAAAAGGTTTAATGGCGGTGGCAGATGTGAAGTTAAATTCACCAACTCAAACAAACAGTCAAAGTGTTGTTGTCAATGTCAAAGAAAGAGATGTTGAAGTGGGGAAACCATACGAAGACGAAGATGGTATAAACAATTGTTCCTGTAAAAGAACAACCAACATATCCTGAAGTTAGCAGAGACTTGTTCTGTTGCAGATATTCGAAACGACTACCAACAACTGAAAGACAAACTTAAAACTCAGGAGAAGATTTGTCAAGCTTTAGGTATAATGTTAAACTTGGTCGAACACAACCCTGTAAAAGTGAACTCATATGTCATCGCACCTCATGAAGTTTTGAAAGAACTATTGAAACTTTTGAACAGAGCAGACGATATAAACATCAAAGAAATAGAACCCGACGTTAGTTGCTGTGGTGTTTCATATAATGTCATTGACAAGATATACGTTATGAAAGGAGGTGAAACGTTGAACTTAAAATATAGTTTCCCAGACGTTATAAAAATATTTGACGACCACAACATTTCATTAAAATTTATTTGCTAAGTAAATGGCAGAAGACATAATGGTTTATACTATTACGACTAAAAACCCTGAGTCATATAATTCTATAACAACAAACTTACAAAGTCCTCAAGGACGATATTGTAAACTAACCTTAAACACGATGACGACTAAAGCCTGTTTTGCTCTTTTGACACCAGAAGACTTTGTTGTTGTGAATGGTAAAAAATACTTCTTTGAAGATACTTACTCAGATATACACCAACAGGTTTTGTTGACTTATTTAATACTTTAAGGACGGATGTAACATGTGCTGCAACTAGAGCAGGTTTCATTATGTTTGGATGTCCGACTGAGTTTAGTATAAACGATATGAGCTATAATACAAAACTTATATCTGGTTTTTACTACCAACAGTTTCCTATAACAGGAAAAGGTGTCATACAAGGTTTGTCTGTTCCATTGACTTTAAGTACACCTATTTTATATATTGTTTCAAACTTAGGTTCAAAGTGCTATTCGAATGTCGACAGAAACTATTATGACCAAAAGATACTTATGCGTATAAACAACACTTTCTCTGCTGGTTTGCCTATTGTTCATTCGAATGCAGAATTTTCAACCTTAGTGAACTCAAACACTTGGCAAGTATAACGTTGACATTAGTTGACGCAAACTTTGTTCCTGTAAAACTTTTATGTCCTATGTATTTGTCAATGACGGCAGAAAGTTTCGAAATTGGAAGATGCAACTGGTGAAAGTATTGTATTACAAGAACAACTTCAACAACAAATAGCTCAAGAACAACAAATGCAACAAATGCAACAACAAAGTCAAGAATAAAAAAAATATTTTTTTTTATTTTTATAAAAATGTACAGAATAGATGTTTTCAGATTTTTATGACTTCCAAGCATTCAGAAATATGTGTCCATTTAGAGACTATAACAAGCAGTCGAGAATTTGAAACGTTTAGTCATTTATGTCGACTCTGCCCCAGAATGTTATGTTATGAAAGAATGGGATGTTGTCTTTAACAAACCTAAAGCGACAATAGTTTCAGAACAAGAATGTAGACAGAAACTTAAGAAAATAAAAGCTGTACAAGTTGGCATGAAGATGTTAGATGCTTGGGATATCTTATTGTCAAAGTTAGAAGATTTTTCAGTTCGAGGTATAAAGTTCTATACACCTTCTCCAAACTTCTATTCTATCTTCACTGGATATAAATACGAACAAGTAGAATGGAAAGAAAATGTTATAGAAGCTTGGTTAGACCATGTCAAAGAAATTATATGCAATGGAAACGAAAAGGTTTATGAGTATATCTTATGTGGTTTGCAAATATCTTACAACATCCAAGTGCTAAAAATGAAATGCTCTCATTATAATTGGGAAAACAAGGAACAGGTAAGAAACACATTCTTTACAGATATTTTGTGCAAACTGTTAGAGGGCTATTCGAACCCGAATATGACAAACTTAGAAAACATCTGTGGCAAGTTTAACTCTTCAATTGAGAATATGAAAACTTATAGTTTGCAATGAACTTCAAAGTATAGATACAACAAAAGTTTTAAACTCAGATGCTTTGAAGAGTCTTATAACAGAATAAGTTGGAGTTGTTGAAAGAAAATATAAAGACCAAAGAGTTTGTGAAAATGTTTGCAAACTTCATTATGGTTTCAAACAATGTTGTTCCGATGAAGTTAGAAAGTTCTGACAGAAGATATGTAGTTTCAGAACGTCAGATTCTCATATGCAAGATACAGAATATTTTTGACGACTTAGCAGAAACTTTGACATCTGACTTTTACAACCACTTGTTCTCATATTTCATGACATTAGATATTTCTAAGTTCAATCCAAGACAAATTCCACATACCGAAGAAAGACAAACATTGTTAGAAGCAAACAAGAGTGTATATGAACTGTTTATAGATGAAACTGACTTTGTGTCATTAGATGAAAGGTCATTGTACGATTCGTATAAACAATATTGTCAAGAATATGGTTATATGACAGCTTCTAAACGAACATTCTTGGCAAATGTCAAAAGTCTTTTAGACATACAGAACGGCGTATATACAAAGAAATAATTTTTCTGAGTAAATTTTAAAAAAAATATTTTTTTATCCGATAAAAAAGATGACGAAATTCATCTCAGTAAATAAGTACATGACAGAAGTCAAAGAAGAACTAGACCCATTCGCTTATTTGAATGTTTACTTCTACCATTTTGAAAAGTCTACATTTGACAAAGTTTGGAACATCGAACAGTTAAGTTTGCTATTGTGACTAAAAATGGTGCGAAATTTGAAGACTTAGACATAGAAGGTTTGTTAACAGTCAAAGAAAATTTTGACAGAAGGTTCTCAAACCTTAAAGAAGGCAAAGCATACAAACTTGTTATACCTTATGAACCAAAGAAGACAGACGACTATGAATATTATGAGTCTAAAGTTGTAGAAGTTCAAGGTAAATTGGGTAAAAAGATTTTAGAGTCTAAGCCAGTGTTTGCTCCTAAAGAGGAAGAGAACATTGACATCGACCCAGAAATGTTCTAAAAATAAAATTTTATTTTTACATGTCATATCTCACCTTCTCTGGAACTGGCTCTGGTTCTTTCTTCTCTTCTTCTACTTTCTTTTCTTTCTTTTCTTTCTTTTCTCTCTTCTTCTTCTTTTCTGGTGGAGTTATGTCAAACTTCTCAGAACCATATTTTTGTAAAAGTTCTTTGTCCTTTAATAGCTCTTCTATTCTGTTTTCTATTTCATCTTCAAGAACAGCGCATGTGTCTTCTTTGCATTCTAAGAAGTTTTGTTGGACTTCATCTCTCCAAGAGGCGTCATCTCTGTCAACAAGTCTGTCATTGACAAACTTAAAGACTTCTCTGCCTAATGTTTTATGGTTCTTGTCATATTCCCAGAAACAGAACTTTAGAACAAATTCACCTTTCTTGTTTACACTATGTAAGATTTTATGGTCGACAGATGTTTTGCTGTCGAAAAGCTTGTCTCGAATATAGATAGCGAAATCGCTAGACATTTTCTAAAAGATAAAAATTTTAATTTTTCTAAAAATATGTTAGAAAAAAAGTTTGCTGACATTGACAAGAAATTTGAGAATGTTTTGAAGAAGAACAAGAGGAAGTTGGAAAATGCTCAGATAAAACCCATACATGACAAGTTCTTATTTGCTCAGAATGGTATAACAGGTCTAATTGCACCACCTGGGTCGGGTAAGACTTTCACTTATCTTAAAATGGCTGCACAACAACAAGAACTAGATGAGAAGAACCCATTCTATGAGTTAGTTGTTATTTGTAGTACATCTGGTCAATTTGACCAAACCGTCAATTCGTTCAAAAATATTATAAAGAAGTCTAAGTTAGTATGTATAAAAGACTCTGAGTTGTTAGATTGGATAAAGAAGTACCAAAGAAGAGTTTTGAAGTATAATGCTATAAATGAGTATATAAATTCGAAGTTTAAAGACCCAAATGAGGAAATGCAGAGAATATTAGAGAAGAAACACTTCAGAAACAAACAGAAAGAGATAGAATACATTTCGAAGAAATTGCAATCTTACGATTGGAAGACTTACCCTCATAGATGTCTTCTTATCTTAGATGACTTTGCTTCTCATCCTTTGTTAAAGAACAGAGAACAAGACATGTGTCGAATTCTTAAGAAGCTCAGACACTTTAACATCTCAGTCGTAATATGTGTACAGACAGCAAAGAGTTTAAGTAAGGATGTAAAGAGAATACTTACTGACATTGTACTTTTTCCCGGATTGTCCGAAGACGATTTCATGGAACTTATGAAAGAGTCCATGGCAGGTAAGTTTGACAGACATGAACTATGGGAGAAGTACAAAGTCATACAAGACCCTCATACTTCTTTCAGAATTCATATCTACGCAAACAAAGTTCAAATTGTAAAAAGTCAAGCTTGAAAAATGTAAGTGTTTAGTCTTAGTCTGTTGTGGTGCTGCAGCTTTCGGTTCTTCTGGCTTTGGAAGGCATTCAGGAAGAGGAACGTCAGTCATCTGTTTGTGTCCTGTCGGAAGGAAGAACTTTTCCTGTTGGAAGGAAGGACTCGGAATGTCGGAAGGAAATTTTTTTCCAGTTGTCGGGAAAAAAGTTCTCAATTTTCGAAAATTTGAATGGTTTACGGACGAACAACAGAAAAAATTTTGCCTGTCGGAAGGAAATTTTTTTCCAGTTGTCGGGAAATTTTTTTCCTGTCGGAAGGAAGGACTTGGAATGCCAGAAGGATTTGACAAGACAATTTACCTTATAGAGCTACCTGAGCCATCTTTGGTGTCAAGCTTGAAAAATAAATGGTTCATTTACTCTGCTTGTTTGAAGTTGTCAAAATACTCTGTTATTTTTTCCTTTAACAATGGCAAATCTTCTTTGAAGGTAAGTATTGTACAACCTTTAATATCATAGTGTGTTTGAGGTAACGTATCTTGAACTATTTGTTTCACATCTTCATTCGGTGTCATTGAAATCGGTAAGTTTTCACGATAGAACCAATTTCTGTCAGATTTGTAAATCTTAGCAAGGTCGTAAAAGCTTTTGTTGTTTCTTCTGACTAAATGCAACATAACCATATCTCTGTCTTCTTCATTTTCCATCTCTTCAGTGTAAATCATATACTTATAGTTCTTTTCCTTTCCTTTTGGTACCGAACGTGGTATTCTTTTCTGTATGGTTTTGTCTTTTGCTTGAAGTTTCTTTTCCATCTCTTCACGTTCTTGTCTATGAATTTCGTCAAGAAGTCTGTAAATATACCAAGCATAACGAGGCGAAGCCCACATTGCTACAGCATTTACAAGAAGTCTATGAACATAATATCCTCTCAAACCGTTTGGCAATTTTTCACGATTTTCATAGAGTTTTGGCGACTGGGGTTTTTTACCTACTCGCTGTTCTTCACTGTTTTCATAGAGTTTTGGCGACTGCGGTTTTTTACCTACTCGAGTTTTTGCGACTACGAGAAAATCCGTAGTCGAATTTTCAGCTTCATTTAATAGTTCAATAGTGCTTTGGTTCCTAAACCAGTCTTGTGGTTTCTTAGTATCTGGAGCAAAACAAGCCGTCAAAATACTTTGCATTTGGTACATATCGTCTTTGACCGAACGAATGAGACGTAACTGTTTGTTATACTGTATGTACTCATATTCTTCATTTATAGCTTCATGGACTATAACTGTTGTTGTGTTCTCTGTTGTTGACATATCTGTCTTTACATACAAAATAAAAAAATAAAAAAAATAAAACTAACTTTATTTTTTCTATCTTAAGGAAATTCATGATTTTTGTTGCTGAATTCAATAAAAATAATGTTTAGGTGAAGAGGTGAAGCCCACATTGCTACAGCATTTACAAGAAGTCTATGTACATAATATCCTCTCAAACCGTTTGGCAATTTTTTACGATTTTCATGAGTTTTAGGCAAGACCGATTTTTTACCTACTCGCTGTTCTTTTACGATTTTCATAGAGTTTTGGCGACCCGCGGTTTTCTACCGGTCGCAAACATATGAGAAATTTCGCTCAAAAGTTCTTGTGTGCTTTGGTTCCTAAACCAGTCTTTAGGAAGCTTAGTATCTGGAGCAAAACATGCTGTCAAAATACTTTGCATTTGGTACATATCGTCTTTGACTTTCACAAAAGACCAAAAATAAACGCTTTACATGTATTTTTCAGCAACTTCGTCAAATAATTTTATAGCTTTATCTATCTCATCTACTTCAAACGTTTCTTTACCTTTCGTGGGAGCACCATACATTTTCTCAAACTTTTCGAGTAGTTCTGTTTCAGCAGCTCTCATATCGTTAACGAACACAACCTTAACTCTATTGACTGTACTGTCATATCTTTGAGTTATATTATATGTTCTTCCTATCTTATATCTCTTTGTATTGAAGTCCTTTGGTTTCTGAACGATGTAAAGTAAGCCTTCACTGCAACGTTCCGTATCGAATGAACCATATGTTATGAAATTATATCCAACAACTGGGTCAATCCAGAACAAAACTACTGGTATAAGACTTTTGTCGATGAGATATGCTCTTGTTCCATAGAATCTTACCGATATCATAAGCTCAGGATTTTTTGTCAAAATTTTCTGAGAGTAGAAGCATTTTTAACCCAGTCGTGGGATGTTTTCTTTTCAGATAGTGTTAAAATGTCTGACAAAGAATATTTTTTGTATTTCTTTGAGTATCTTACGTTTAAATCACCTATTCTAACTATTTTGGTCTCATTGTCTATCTTTCTAACTGTTTCAAACTCAATGTTTAACATTTTCTGTTCTTACATACAAAATAAAAAAATAAAAAAAATAAAACTAACTTTTTTTTCTATCTTAAGGAAATTCATGATTTTCATACGGAATCTCTATCCTCGGTTTTTCGAGGGTAGCAATCTTATGAGGAAATTCATGAAATTTGGTCATTTTTCAGCAAAAATAATGTTTAGGTGAAGAGGTGAGATTTCACCTGTTTTTTCACCTGTTTTTTCACCTCTTTTCTAACATGGTCTAAAACACACAAAACTCATGAAATTTCATACGGAATTCAGCAAAAATAATGTTTATGTTAGAATGTTAGATCTAACATGTTTTCTAACATGTTTTCTAACATGGTCTAAAACACACAAAACTCATGAAATTTCATACGGAATTCAGCAAAAAATAATGTTTAGGTGAAGAGGTGAGATTTCACCTGTTTTTTCACCTCTTTTCTCACCTGTTATTTTATAAGCGTTTTACATGAATTGTACGATGTATATTTGAAATCCTAAACAGTTTTGTGGCTTCGATTTCCTCTGTCAGTACATCGAATGTTTTAACAATGCCGAATGTTTCTTTATATTTCTTCTTGACATCTGAAAGAAGGAAATCGTCAGCTGTTGGATAGTTTTTGTTCAGAAATGCTAACATGTCCATTTTATCTTCTGCTGGCTTCTCTACTTCTTTCTTTAAGTCAGCATAGTCGTTTCTCATTCTTTCTATCTCTTTGACGGAGTAGTTATATTTCCTCATTGCTGCTTTACATTTAGAACATTGTGGGTTCATTTTAGCGTTATATTCTGAAACCTTACCTGCTAAAACAACTAAGGCGTCAATGGTTTTCTTTAAATCTGAAGCAGTTGGTTTTATTTGTTCGTTCCATATTTTACATCTTTTATCTTTATCTCTTATCTGCCATACACATTCAGCAACTAACGAAACAAAGTTGTCGTAGGTCTTAAACTCCCCAGATTTATATATGTCAGAGATGTTCTTATATAACATGTCGCAATCTTTGTCCATAACCTTATGGTTGCAATGAAATCCTAGAAACTCATAGTTTACCTTTCGTATGAACTTCTTTATTTCTACTGAGTCGGTTGTTTTTACTTCTATTTCATCGAATTCAGGAATAGTAAGCTTTTGTTGTTGTATTTCAGGAAGTTTAGGTAAATGGTCAATAATATCCTGCATTTCATAAAGATACTGTTCATTTGTTTCATCTTTCGCACTACAGTCTAAATTACTTGTTAAAAGTTCTTGCTTTATCTTCTGGATTTCTGTTTCAAAAGTATATGAAGAAGGAATGAAGCTTTTCATTTCTACTAACATTGAAGTTGGGTTCATAACTAAAGAGTTTGGTGAAGTTGTTGCTAACATGTTCTTACAATAAAAATAAAAAATATTTTTTAAATAAAACTAACTTTATTTTTTCTATCTTAAGGAAATTCTGTATAAAATTCATGAGGTGAGAAAACAGGTGAAAAAACGGGTGAAATCTCACCTCTTCACCTAAAATATATTTTTGCTGAAAAATGACCAAATTTCATGAAAATTCAAGAGGTGAGAAAAGAGGTGAGAAAACAGGTGAAATCTCACCTCTTCACCTAAACATTATTTTTGCTGAAAAAAATGGTTCATTTACTCACAATATTTTTGTACAAAACAACCCCAAGCTTTTAACTTCTTTTCTGCAGCTTCTAATGCTATCTTAGCGAGTTCATATTCTCTAAATTCTCTCTTTAAATCTTCTTGTTCCCATTGGTCTAGTTCGTATGGAGAGTCTCTATAACCATAACATATCTCACGTTCATGTTCTATTTGTTTTTCATGCATTTTTCTAACTTCTTGTTCGAACAAATGTTTTGTATTCTCTACTGTATCTTCAAGTTCTTCTTCATCTAATTTCTCATGAACTTTCTTGTCTATGGAGTCCAGAATTTTTCCAACTGCTATACAATATTTTGGAGAAGCCCACATTGCTATATAGTTTACAAGTCTTGGGTCTACATACATTCCTCTAACCTGTTTGATTTCATCAGGAATTCCTGCATGAATTTTGTATAAAAAGCAACCCGCTGTTTTCCGCGGGTTGGTATATTCTTCACAAAATGCCTCAAAATACTCTTCCCAGGACTTATTTTCCAACAACCTTCTAAAGTCTTTCCTAAACTGCTGACACATCTTTGTTGCATTTATATAACCATCCTTGTCTCTACGTAAGACTTCAATACCGTTGTAAGTGCCTTTTGTGAATGTTTCGCCATTAGATTTGTTCGTGAACGTTTTTGCTTCGACTGTCATACTGTTCTTACAATAAAAATAAAAAAAATATTTTTTGGTGGGACGTCGGACATTCGTTTGTGGCTTAACCGTCGGACCACAACGATAAAAATCTCGACAAAACATATACGATGAAGAAGTCTTGACAAAACATATACGATGAAGTCTTAACAAAAAATATACGATGAAATCTATTTCCTGTGTTGTTGTCAAAATGTCATGTTGTCACACTTTTTCAGAGAAGTTAAAATGACCGAGTGACATGGTGACACCTTCAGTAAACATCTCATTTTAACTCACTTTTTTTCTATCTTAAGGAAATTCATGAAAATTCACCTGTTGAACTTTGTATAAAAAGCAACCCGCCGAATTCCGCGGGTTGGTATATTCTTCACAAAATGCTTGTTTTGAGGTCGAGCCACTTTTGGCTCCACCGTATTCTTTCAACCAAAAACTCATTTTTGTCGAATTCAGCACAAAATTCATGAAAATTCAAGAGGTTAGAAAACGTGTTAGAAAACGTGTTAGATCTAACATTCTAACATAAACTTTATTTTTCAATACTTTTTCAGCACTTTTCCGTAGTTATATATGAAAGACAATTCGAGATAAAAGTCATAGTACAATGGAATAATATGTTGCACACCATTTGTTGTGAACCAAACTTGAAAGTCAGAGAAACTGTTACTAGGTGGTTCGTAGAATTTAGAAGCAAAGTCATAAAAGTCCTTACCAATACATAGAAAACTATTGTTGCTTGAACTGAAACTTGCATGACACATAACATTTTGAGGGTCAAACACGTTTCTATAAACTGTCAAATCTGCTGGTGGACGTATAAATTTAAATGGACCATCTGGTGGTAATGGTTCGTTCTGGTTTAGTAACCGAAGAAATTGTGCCCAAGAACGTTTGTCTACTTCCCAAAATAAAAACTGTGTATCTCTTGGAGGGTTAATTTCAATCCTTTGAAATGAAACTGTGGAATTCATCTTGTCATATTCTAGTTTCAGATAGTATTTTCCGTTTAGTAAAGAGTCGTATTTTTCTTGAAATTCCCAATAATATTTGTTTATTTGAGTTTGAAAGTCATTTAGAGTTTTCTCAAGACTTTCGTCTGAACGAACTGTAAAGATTCTCATTTCGTCAAATTTGTCTATTAGACCATCATCACCTTTATATTGCCCATGAAAATATACTGCGAACATAAAAGCGTTAGTTCTATTTGAAAACAAAACTCTTCTAAATCCTATTGCCTTTGCTTCTGAAGGACTTTGAAGCCAACGAATTGGATAGTCAAACCTGTATGAACGGGATGAAATTTCTTCATCTGATACAGTCCTACCAGCGTTTGTAAAGATATAGTCTAACGGTTTTGTATCTGCTACTTTTGTTCTTTGTTTTTCAACCTGAAACATTTAATATATGTAAAAATATATTGTTTTAAAAGTAAACGTTTTAAAATGGTATGCCATTTCATATTTCTCATCTAACAAACATGTTGTCTGACTGCTTGAGGGTTAGGTTGGTACCATTCGAACTTGACACTTGCAATTCCTTCAATTGCATTCAAAATATCGGAGTCTGAATCAGCCATTTGTTCTCTCTTTGTAGTCTTGAAAGCGTCAAGAAGTTTTGCAGCTGTTTGTTCATTGCCATTTGCATAGTAAATGTGACCATCTAAATCTGTTACGGTTAGTCTGAGATTGTATCCTTTCTTATTTCCATCTTGTATGGCAGCAAGTACACCCATGAAGCCTTCTTTGTTCTTTCCTTCGTCAAAGTTTACTGTAAAGGTTCGACCAGAAGTAATTTGACTTCTAACTTCACGGTACTTCTCATATGCATATCTTGTTCTTTCCATGGGAGCATGTGCGTCTTCACCTTTTCCTTTTTTCCTTCTCAAAGGATGCAATTGTTCGTCATGTTTCCAGTAGAATCTGGCAAAGCCGTCGTGTCCTTCAACTTGAGGCTCAGTAACATTGAAAGGCATGTTCATAAGACATTCTTCTTCTAACCTCTCTAGTCTGTTTGGATAATTGGCACGTGCTGTTTCCAAATCCATTTCGTAGCGAAGACCAGACAATTTGTCATAGACTTTTATGGGTCTTCCCTTCCTATATTTAAAATTCTTCGAAACTCTCCAACCATATCTTTGCAACTCTGCTTTTATTCTAGCAGACTTTCTATCCATTCTATATGGGGGCATTTTATAAAAATAAAAATATACTGTTTTAAAATGGTATGCCATATAGCTTCTTGAATTTGTTAAGAAGTATTTGAACGTTTTTTCCATCTGTATCTCTAGTGTTTACATAAGCATAGCCTGCCTTAGTAAAATATACTTGTAATTTTCTATAGTTTACGCCGGTATAAAAGTAGAAAGAGTCCTGTTCTTCGCTGTAGTAGTAAAACTCAAACGTATGCTTACCATAGTCTGTAATTTCAATTGCTTCATCTTCTAGTTCGTCGACAAATTCGAATACAATATCTCGAAATTTGCCTATGTTCTTATTGTTTTCAGAACAAGTGACCCAGCGTAAGTTTTCAAGTCTATTGTCGTTTCTTATATGGTTTATATGGTCTACAAAAGGTAAATTGTTAGGATTCGGTATAAAATGAGTTGCAATGACAACATGTTTTAAATAGCATTTTCCACCCAGATTCATCATAGCATATCCGTCATTTCGCTCCCATCCGCTTAAAACTCTTTTTGTCTCTTTGTTTCTGACTTCAAATGACTCACAACAGTGAATTTCATATTTCTCATCTAACAAACAAGTTTTCCAACGGTCTGTTCCAACAAACTCAGCGTACATTTCAAATAAAATAAAAAAATGTTTTTTTTTTAAAAAATGTTTTATTTTAAATGGTATGCCATTTCATATTTCTCATCTAATTTCTCATGAACTTTCTTCATCTAATTTCTCATGAACTTCATCGTCAATGTTTTGTAAAGACTTCTTCATCTATGTCTTCCCAACGGTCTTTTCCGACAGACTCAGCGTACATTTCTATAAAAATAAAAAAAATGTTTTTTCTTTACTTTACGTAACCACCCGCTGCCAAAAGTCTTTGACGCCAACCCATACCAGCTAATGAAGGTTGACTTGGTTTAGTCTGGAGACTAAACTTTGGTTTTGGTTTATCTTCAGTTTTTGGCTCCCCTTCTTCTATTGGTTTTTCGTCACTTTTCGGTTCTTCTGACTTTACCTCACTTGCTGGAATAGTAGTGTCGTCAACATCTTCATAAATATCATATGCCATCTGTTTCTGTTTTCCTTTCAACTTTTTGTGTTTGTTGTAAAGTTTAGAATATTTTGACTCTAAGTCAATGAGATGTTCTATAATGAACTGTTGGTCGGTGAAGTAAACTTTTCCATCTGTTGTCTCTTTAGTTCCTTCAGACTTCAATATTTTATTTGTGAGAGTCTGTTTCTTTTTTGAGATACTAGCCGTTCCATTTCTATGAAAAGTGACTTTGTAGTTAGGGTTTGTATTTCCAGACCTGGCACTTTCTATTATTGAATTTTTCTCTTCATCTGTAAGTTCTTTGACAGGTTTTGACAATGGTTCTGAACTTTTTGTTTGTGGTGTCAAATCTACCGTTTCAACTTCTTCGGTCATTTCATCTCAGTAAAAAATTTTAGTTTGGTTTGTTTTCAACTGGTTGTTGTTGTTTTTTAAGTCGGTCTAAAACTTCCTGAGGTATAGGAAGAACTTGACAAACACGTTGTGTAACTGCTGGAAGTCGACAAATCCATCTTGAACCCATTTGTCTCAATGCTGTATTGTTCATTTCATCTCAGTAAAAAACTTTACATTCCCCACGTTTGAGGCGGTTGAGGTTGGTTATTGTTTACCCATTGTTGTGCATGGTTATATCCTCTGTTAAAGAATCTTTCACCTTGGTCCATATAGTGTCCTGCTTGGTTATAGTAGTCATTTGCTTTGTTATAATAGTTTCCTGCTTGTGTTCTTACATTATCCATCCATCCTTGAACTTTTCCTCTTGTTTCAGGATTTGGAATAAGATTTGTTGCATCTCGTGCTACATCCCAACCTTTCTGTACAGTTTGTATAATAGGTTGTGCTTTCTCTTTAAGTATACCTAATGTACTCAAAATCTTCCTTCCAACTCCAAATACACCTCTGGCTATTGTTCCCACTGCGGGTAAAAATCTGGATGCAACTCCTGCTAATGCGCCAAATAAACCCATTTCTTACAGGGTAAAAAATGACGAATCCAAACAAGGACCCCTATGTTTCTAAAGCAACAAAGAAAGCACTCATGGTAAAAATCTTTAGTTCGACACCAAATGCTTGGTTTATGGATATCTTGGAAAACATTCCGAGATATAGAGAAGATGGACCACCATACTGGCTAATATTTGTTGGTCAAAACACAAGATACTGTGAAGCCATACCATTATGGTCCAAAAATATTTTAGATGTGAAAACTGCTTTGACAATATTCGTTGACAAATACCATCCAACAAAACTGACATCTGACTGTGAAAGTTCTTTCAAATCAGACGATATTAAAAACTATCTGCGTTCAAAAAATGTAAACCAATATTTCATTGTCGACCAAAACCATTCTGCTCTTGGTGTCATTGACAGTTGTATAAAAATCTTAAGAGACTTAAACCAACCACAAGGTGGTGAAGCAAATGAAATGTCATATGACGACAAGTATAGACATTTCTCCATGGCAAAGATGAGACAAGTTTTAAATATTTACAATAGCCGTAAACAAAAAGGTTTGGGAAACCACTCCCCCGAAGAAATGAAAAACAACCCCGACTTAGAGAAAGACTATATATTTAATAGTTTAGTCAAAAGAGACAAACAAGAAAGAATGCCGGGCTTCAAACTTAAGAAAGGCGACAAAGTAAAAATAGAAATACCTAAACGCGACCCATATGAAAATACTATTGACTATGACAACAATGGGAACCCGACAGGTACTCACATTCGTGTTCGTAAAAATAGAAGAAAGTATACAAGAGAATATTATGAAGTTTTAGGCAAACATGGCAAAATGTACAGACTGCAAGCAGAAGATAAAACTACTATTGTCAGACCTCGTTTCAAACTTGTCAAAGTTCAAGGTGGTATACTTTCAAAGACAGTTCCTAACAAATATAAACAACTCCTGACGAATATGCTAAAGAAGTTGAAAATGACGACTAAGCATTTCTATACCATGCGTAAACTGTCATGTAAGGTGGCATGTAGTCTTTACTTTGTCCCGTTGTTTGCGTATATCCCGAAACGCGATGTGTATGGTTTCCATCTCCCTGAGTGTTACCCCAGAAACAATTTATAGCAAACTGAACGTTGTCTTTAACATCATATCCTTTACCTTTTGTCATTGCTGACCAATCCCAAAATTTATGCTTATGCCAACCTGCTTGAGATGTACTTAAATCTATGTAGTGACTATGTGCAGGTAAATTTTCACCTGAAATCGTTTTACTTCCACCTGTTTCCTTTGAAGAGTTTGCACAATACAAAAACCTGTCGACTATTTGAGTCCAAGTTCCAAAACCAAGTACTACTTCTGGTCTGGTAGAGTTCATTGACGTATAAATAGAGCCTATAGGATATAATGTTTGAAGTATTTCTGTCTTTAATGTTTGAAGCTCTGTTTTGTCTGCTTTCTTGTCATATAAATCTTGAGCAGTGAATTTAATATTATGTTCATCCTTCATGACATAAACATCTTTACATCTAATGTTTCCCATCGTCGTTATGTCGTCATCCGATGTTAAACCTTGTGGAAAGTTAGGAGGTTTACAATATATTGCATCCCCACCAGTTTCTTCAACCGTTCCTTCAATACTTTCTATAGCAACAGTTGTAAAACTTGTATGTGTATGGTTCTTGTCTGCTTTCTTCTCTAACTCATCGTTAACATAAGTTTTATCTGCTTTAAGGTCTAAACATCCTGAAACCCATCCTGTATCGGCTTTAACTTTAAAAGTCTTCGATGTCCATTCATGGTACCAGTCAACCCTTTCTTTCATTTCGTTATCTTTTTCATCCACATATTCCTTATCCGCTTTCTTCTCTAACTTACTAGCCACATATTCCTTATCTGCTTTATTTTCAAGGCTAACGTTTAAGTCTGTTATTTCAGATATAGAATGTGTATGAGTCTTTTTAGAATATTCGTTTTCAGCTCTTGTCACTTCACTTGACATTTTATTGTCAACATATGTTTTGTCTGCTAGTTCAGGATGAGTATGTTCTTTTGTTGCATAAGCATTGTTAGCTCTTTCTTCTTCTTTTGCTATTGCATCGTCTACATATTCTTTGTCAGCTTTGTTGTCAACATCTGCTTTCAAAAGAAGTTCATTTATAGGTTTCTCGTTTAAAGTTCCTTTTGTTGGATTTATACAGACAGTATTGTTCTTATTGTCTTGAAACAGAAACTCATCTGTCATTGGGTTTAATGTCAGTTTTAAGTTTCCTTCTTTCAATGACTCAGATATCTTAGAATAGTTTGAAAAGTTTGTTGTGTTCTTATTTAGAGCTTGCATAATGAGTTGTCGGTTGTGTTGTATTTCTCTCATGGAAGCAATATCTTTCGACATTTTTATTCTAGATAAAATATGCTTTCAATAGAAAAAGAAAATTCAAGAGTTGCTACAACTAAACCATTAGATGAACTTTTTACTAATGTCGGTCAAAAGTTTGAGACAGAGACCGTAAAGCATGAAGGCTATCGTTTTGACTACCCATTAAGATGGCTAAGAGACCCATCTGTCACAAAAGCTATTGGCTTTCGTAGAATGAAGTTCATTTCAGAAGCCATACATGGTTTCCCATTTACGGTCGGTTTTGAAGTTCGATACTATAACAAAGAAAAACGTATGTATGAGAAATTTGAACAGGGAAAACTTTTACAAGTTAGTTTGCTTGTAAACTTAGAAACAACTCTTCAAGCTTTTCAAGAAAAAATAAACGATATCTATATCGAATATGCAAACCAGTATAACATTGACGAGGGGGAGTACCATCTCGATATTATTTATGACAGGAAAAATGCAACTGTTAAAATCAATAGAATAGAAGACCTTGGAGAAAACGTTTATATTTCTACAAAATATAACAACTTGGCATGGTATAGATTTTTGAGGATGTTAAATCAGCCTGCAGCATATCCAGTACACCCAGACTTTTATGAAGTCGAAAACCCTAATGGAACATATGAAAATGTTTTCGACCAAGATGCTATTATTGTTCATGCTTCATTTTCTGGCGCCCAAAACTCTTTCTTATGCTTGGCAAATGACTTTTACGAAAAACCTACAAAGTTATACGAACCACCAAGTGGAAGTATTTCAGACTTTCAAGTATGGTTTACTACAGATGGAAGAAAAAGAATAATTCCATTATACCATGCGTTTTACTTAGAACTTAGTTTCATATACAACTACTATCGAACGGTAAAAATATAATTTTTTAATACGGTTGAGGTGTTGGATTTGGTTGCCAACTAGACTGTGGTGCAGGTTCAGGCTGTTGTATAACAGGAGCTTGTTCTTCTGGTTCAGGGTCTTTAGGTATAATACCAACGAACTGACCTACTCTTTTACCAATATTTTTGACTCCGTTCCAAATTCCTCTTCCTACGGTTTTTATTCCATTCCATATACCTCTTCCAACATTTCGAAAGAAGTTTCCTATCTTACTGAAGAAACCCATTTTACTATATGTAAAAATCTAATGTCCGCCTAGTCTCTTACGTTTCCTGTTGAGTTCCATAGCATTCTTTAACTGGAGCTCATACATTCTGTTTCTCCTCTGGTAGAAAACATATTCTGGGTCAACTCCTGTGTTCGCGTCATCTGCATAAAGTTGTTTATATCCCACTTCAGGGTTTGTATAAAACTCTTTCCATCTCATATTTGCATACCATGGTGGTAAGCCTAACGCAGCGTCATTTGACATGGCAGTTTGCATTTGTACATCTGTTGGCACTTGACCATAGTTTGCCATTGCAGTTTGTATTCTAACTTCATTTGGAATATTCTCTGGGTTTGGTTGTCCAGGTTGCTGTGCATTCGCTAAGTTCTGTGCGTCCATTTAATATTAGATAAAAATATCTCTTACGAGTACATATGCTGAACATTTGCAGGCATTGGTTCATCTTCATATTCTCTGTACTTTTCTGCCACGTCAAATAAATAAATGACACAATGGAAAAAACCTAAAACAAGTAGTCCTATTTCAAACCACATTTACTTACTAGTAAAATTTCTTTGTTATGACACTTTCTCCGGTTTATAGGACCTCTCTCATATTCTATCTTATCGTATCTAAACTCATAGTCATGTATGTCCTCTAACCATCTCATGACACTTTCCAAACCACTTTTATCGGATGTAAAGTAAAAGCATGGATGGTTATGTAAAACGTCTAAAGTTTCTAAAGAGTCTCTCAAAGTCCAGTCTACTTGGTATTGAAAATCCCATGTGTTATAGAACGGCGGGTCCACTATAAAGAAAACATTTTCCTTGTCTTTATATTTTTCATACAAATCTGTCCAATGACATCTCACAAACTCTATACCCTCAATATATTTTTCTATGTCCTCTTTGAAAACATTTGTATAGTTAAGATATAAAACTTTTGACATAAGTGTTTCAATGTCATGAACTCTTATAGCACCACTATATAATAGTCTAGCAGATATACTATCCCAGTCAATATACTCTGCCTTTTTCAAAACCTCTCTGACAGTATTTTTCTTATCTAATGGTATACGTTCCATCTTACCTATAGGTATCTTTTCTTTTAACTCTTTCAATATATTGTTTGTGTCTGGAATATGTTTGAGACGGTCCATATAGTTGTCGAAGTCATTGCATATAATCTTTGAGTCTGGAAATATTATATGGCACAGATGGGATATATAGAAACTTCCACCGAACAAATCTACAAATGTTAGACCATTCGGTAGTTTCTTAAGTTCTCTCAATAGAATATCTTTACATTTACTCTTATTTCCAAAGAACGGTAACGGCGGTTTTGTAAAATTCATTTATATATAATAATAAAAATGTTTTTTCCTGAAAAGTGACAGAAAAGTGACAAAACATTTACGAAGAAGTCATGAAATTTCATGAAATTTTCAGCAAAAATAATGTTTATGTTAGAATGTTAGATCTAACATGTTTTCTAACATGTTTTCTAACATCGTAGAAAACTCTTGAAATTTGGTCATTTACGCTCATTACGATGAAATCATGACAAAACATTTACGAAGAAGTTTCGACAAAACATTTACGAAGAAGTCTTGACAAAACATTTACGATGAAATCATGAGTTTTCTACGATGTTAGAAAACATGTTAGAAAACGTGTTAGATCTAACATGCTAACATAAACATTATTTTTGGTCATTTACGCTCATTACGATGAAATCATGACAAAACATTTACGAAGAAGTTTCGACAAAACATTTACGAAGAAGTTTCGACAAAATATTTACGAAGAAATCATGAGTTTTCTACGATGTTAGAAAACATGTTAGAAAAGGTGTTAGATCTAACATTCTAACATAAACATTATTTTTGGGTCATTTACGCTCATTACGAAGAAGTTTCGACAAAACATTTACGAAGAAGTCTTGACAAAACATGAAAACATATATAATTTGTGAAAAGCTCCTGGAAGACCCGTATATAAGAACTTCATTTATGTGGGCTAGAGGGCGCAACGCGCCTGGAAGCCCACCCCAAGAAAAAAAAAACTTCATTATATCAATCATCCTCAGGGCTAGAAGGCACGAAGTGCCTGGAAGCCCCACTTCCTTTTTTTTTTTTTTTTTTTTTTTTTTTTTTTTTTTTTTTTTTTGTTGATAGTTTTGTTTTACCAAAATTCTCCGTCAATTTTTAATTTGAGTCATATTCGTTCGATAATTTGTCGATGATCATAATAGAATGTTCCTAATACTTTTATCACTTTAATGCAATTTGGAACATGACTCTTATAGTAAATTTCAGCAGTTCTTTATCTCAATTTTTGATCGTATCGTTAATGAATTATTTTTTATAATTCCACAATGTCGTACATTCCTATAAGGAAATTATACGATGATATAAAAAATTGAAAAGTGACAATTCAATGTCATTGTTGAATCAATATACTGTGCTCGAAAGCTTGAATAAAGGAAGCTTCGGCACAGTTTATTGCGCGTACAATAACGTAACAAAAACATTTGTAGCGTTAAAAGTTGAAAGAGAAGATTTAAAACAATCTCAGGTATATAACGAAGCACGCGTATATCAGTATTTGAAAGATACACCTGGATTTGCAGTACAACATGCTTTTTTGGCACAACAAAATCAGCGAATCTTGGTTCTAGAGTTGCTTGGTGCCAACTTATTAGAATTATTTAAAGAATGCGGTCATAAATTTTCATTAAAAACCGTTACAATGATTGCATTACAAATGATAGATCGTCTTGAAACATTTCATTCAAGAGGATTTATACACAGAGACATCAAACCACAAAATATTTTAATCGGTAGAGGAGATAAATCAAAGATTTTATATTTAGCTGATTTTGGCCTCACATCACCTTTCCTACCAGCAAGACGAGATGGTATTTTGCCACCTCTCGTTACTGCACAAGTAACAGGAAATCAATTATTTTCTTCAACAGGAAATCATATGAATTACCAACAAGGACCAAAGGATGATCTTGAGAGTCTTGCCTATATGTTAGTATACCTTCTCACAGGAGCTCTTCCTTGGAGTAATATCCAAACAACAGATCCCAACAAAAGGGCCAACATCCTTACAAATACAAAAATGACAAGTTCTGTGACTGAAATATGTAAGGATTGTCCTGATATGTTTGGAGATTTTTTGAGAACAATAAAATCACTGAAAAGTGACGATACACCAGATTATAATGCACTGAAGCAGATGTTCATAGATTTTATGGAAGAGAATGAAATCCAAAATGATCTAATGTTTGATTGGGCTCCGATTCATAAAGAACAAAAATATTCCCTGAAAATAAGACGTGGACCACGTTAGTTTGAGTGCTGTTTTAGCTATTCAAATATTATTTAGAGTTATTTTCTTGTTTTTGTTGTAATTTTTTTTATCATGAATTTTATAAAGTGTTATTTTAACTGTAATAGTATTTTGATCAAACACAAAGGCCTTTCACGAAGTTTGATATATAGAATATTCGTACAATATGAATTTTTGTTTCAAATTTTTGAATTATCAGTCTAAAAGTTATAAAATTCACAGAGTTTTATGTAATCTCTGGAGAGTAAATACATATAAACCAAACAAATTCGCAATTCTACTAAATTTCTTTGAATTTGTGGATATGTGATTGTTTTGTACAGGCAAAATTCTCTGTTTAAATAATGTCAACTATTTTAGCAAAGATTTGGATTTCTGGAATATTTGTGATCTTTATAAATTTTTGTCACTTTTCTTTGAAAATATGATTAGCGATCGCAGTCTCAGCCTAGATGAAGAAGCTGCAATGTATCATGCAGCAATGTTCAATTTATCGACAGTTGAGACGGAAGTAAAAAGATTACCCCCAAATCCACAAAAAATTTCAAGAAAACAATCGACAAATAAGGTTTCTAATGTAATCTGCTTCAGATGCGGTCAAATGGGCCATATTTCTGCTCAATGCCATGAAGAATTGCCAACATTACAATCGATTGAAGCCGAAGTTATGAATGATGTTGATGAAGTCATTGAACAATTAATGAAAGAACCAGGATATTACAATGATGAAGCTGGGCCATATAAAGTTACTGCTCTTTCTCCTGTTAAACACGATAAATCTTGGAGTAATGGTGTATTTTGCCTTAATTGCGGCGAGTTTGGTCATCAACACAATCACTGTCAGAGGTCTAATTACGCAACTCTAGCAAATGAACTAGGAAAATATTACACGAATAATTTTACTCATCCAAACAAACCAGTAGCTGATATTGAAGAGTTATTTGAAGATTTATACTAATTTACATCAATGGCCTCGATATTCATTATCAAATTTCTTTATATAATTCATTTTTATTTTATTTTACCATTCATTTTATAATTTTCCATTTTATTTCTTTTGATCTATATATTAGAGAGAAGTGTAGGGATTTCGGCCCTCTCAAACTGTTTTTGTAATTTTTTTTTAAATATCTAGAATTATTTATAAAGTAAATCATGTATTTTATCTTTAAAACGACAAACTATTTCAATAACTCTTATTAAATATACTAACGTTACCCGGAAATAAGAGTTTTTTTTTTTTCATATCGTTTGTCCTCTTATTTTCCAGTAACGTTATTAAGATTAAAAATAAATTATTCAAGAAACAGCTCGTTTATTAAGACTAATGATAAAATTCGTGAGAAGGGCAATCTCATATTCATAACATTTATTAATATGAATAGTTTTATAAATTAAGAGCGGAATAGAGATATTTTCAATAGATATATATTGAAGGACAGCAATTGTTGTTCGATCTGAAAGGGTTGTTGTGTTATCAAAGCGAACATGAACTCTTTTTTCTCCAAATAATTTTTTACAATTATCCGATAAGACTATTTGATTTGTGATAAATAAATTACTTTCATATGGAAATGCAGGATAAGAATAATCGTAATTCACATTAAATTTTCCTGAAATGGTGATATTCATTGGATTTTCAATATCCTTGAATGGATCAGATCCAAATGTAAGTGAATAGAAGGTGTTTTGGAAAGTAATATTAATAAAGTTTTCGCAGCGAGAAAATGCATAATTTCCAATAGATGTTACACCTTCTGGGATTGTGATACTTGTTAATGATGTACATGAAGAAAATGCAAAATCTCCAATAGATGTTACACTTTCTGGGATTATAACAACTGCTAAAGATGTGCAATATTCAAATGCATTAAAGCCAATAGATGTTACACGTCGAGGGATTGTGATATTTGTTAATGATGTGCAAGAAGAAAATGCATTATTTCCAATTAATGTTACACCTTCTGGGATTGTGATACTTGTTAATGATGTACATGAAGAAAATGCAAAATCTCCAATAGATGTTACACTTTCTGGGATTATAACAACTGCTAAAGATGTGCAATATTCAAATGCATTAAAGCCAATAGATGTTACACGTCGAGGGATTGTGATATTTGTTAATGATGTGCAAGAAGAAAATGCATTATTTCCAATTAATGTTACACCTTCTGGGATTGTGATACTTGTTAATGATGTACATGAAGAAAATGCAAAATCTCCAATAGATGTTACACTTTCTGGGATTATAACAACTGCTAAAGATGTGCAATATTTAAATGCTTTAAAGCCAATAGATGTTACACTTTCAGGGATTGTGATACTTGTTAATGATGTGCAAGAAGAAAATGAATCACTTTCAATAGATGTTACACTTTCTGGAATTGTGATATTTGTTAATGATGTACATGAAGAAAATACACTACTTCCAATATATGTTACACTTTCTGGGATTGTGATACTTGTTAATGATGTGCAAGAAGAAAATGCATGATCTCGAATATATATTACACTTCCAGGGATTGTGATATTTGTTAATGATGTGCAAGAAGAAAATGCATGATCTCGAATATATATTACACTTCCAGGGATTGTGATATTTGTTAATGATGTGCAAGAAGAAAATGCAAAATCTCCAATAGATGTCACACTTTCTGGGATTGTGATATTTGTTAATGATGTGCAATATTTAAATGCTTTAAAGCCAATAGATGTTACACTTTCAGAGATTGTGATACTTGTTAATGATGTGCAAGAAGAAAATGAATCACTTTCAATAGATGTTACACTTTCTGGGATTGTGATATTTGTTAATGATGTGCAATATTCAAATGCATAATCTCCAATAGATGTTACACTTTCAGGGATTGTGATATTTGTTAATGATGTGCAATAAGAAAACGCACCACTGCCAATCCATGCAATATTGTTATGAAGTTTAATAGATGTAATATTCACATGATAAAAGCAATAACCGGAAATATTCGTAACATAATTAGGAACAATATATTCGCTTTCTGAATATGATTTAAAAACCCTAAATAATGTTGAATTATCTGTTCCTGAAAATAAAGATTTAGTATCACTCTTAAAATATTCATTTTCTGGATCAACTGTTATGGTTTCTAAAGATTTACAATCACAAAATGCTTCAGAAGATATTTCACTAAGTGATTTTGGAATAAAAAATGTTAAAAGATTTGTCTCATAAAAGCAATTTGTGTTTAATTTTTTTAATTTAGAATTTTTTGAAACGTTTATGGTTGTTAATCCACTATAATAAAATGCATATTCATAAATAGTTTTTACAGAATCTGGTAAATCTATTGATGTTAGAGCTCTATTATTATAAAAGCATTTTTTCCCTATACTTGAAATATTTGGAGGGAACACAATAATTTTCAATCTTTCACATAATTTAAAGACTGATTCATTAAGTAATGTAAGATGATTGCAATTACTGAGATCGGCTGATTCTATAATTGTCCAACAAAAGCTATAATTACTAATACTGATAATCTCACTGCCTTCTTCAAATTTAATTGATGTGATTCCATATTTACAATTCATGAAGGCATAATTATTTTCATCTTCGCTATATATTTCTTTGACAGTTCGAGGAATAACAATTTCACTAATTAATCCCGCTGAACAACTAATAAGAACTTCTTCACTTTCATCTCTGTAACCAAATGGTTCAAAACTAGTAATTTGATAAAAAATAAAGAAAATCATGTTTAAATAATATTATTGTCTTTTGATTTTTATATAAAATAGAAAGATATGGTTCATTTATTTGTAAAATATAAATCTCAAATGAATCTGTAAATGAACAATTTGATGAGTGATGAATATTTATATAAAATGATATGAATATCTAACGAAAATATTATGATTTATATGTCGAAGATACCAATTGGAAATTGTTTAAATTTCAATGGGAATTATGAAGCGTAATGTAAAATTAATTCATCACTGAACTCATTATATTATATTAAAAGACGATTCTACTTACGACTAGTATAATTCTTCATGAAATTGAAGATGAATGATCGGAGATATGATTGAATTCATTTATTGACTGCGATATTTTGTAATTACATCAAAAATTTGCAAGTAATTCACTCTGATTGAAAGTTTTCCAGCGCAAAGAGAGCACATTCACCAATTATCTCAATTTTTGAATAGTTTACATTTCTATTATTTCTTCCCAACATCATTTAGAGTATACTGACCACTTTCTGACATTCTCTCATTTAATGATTTTGGTATAAAAAATGTTAAAAAATTTTGTCCCCAAAAAGCATCCTCTACGTAATTTTGAGCATTTTTTGCACTCCATGTAAAACCATTATGTGCAAAATTTCCATGAAATGATTCTTCATAAATAGTTTCTACAGAATCAGGCAAATCTATTGATGCTAGAGCATAAGTGTTATAAAAGCATCTTATTCCTTTAAAGATGAAAAATATTTTAGGAATAAATAAAAGAGAAATAAAAATACAACAGAATTATACAAAATAAAAATAAAAATGAAAATGAAATGATAATGATAGTTATTTGGGAGTTTCGGGTTGTCGTACAATGAATGGTGTGTAATCTTTAAGTTCGAAATCGTATTCCCAGTCTGCAAGTGATGAAATGAAAATGTCGATCTTCTCGATTGCGAAGTTTTCGCGTGGAACATTTCCAAGTTGTGGAATAGGTTTCTTAACTTCCGTGCAAACTTCTTTAGCTGCACTTGCCCATGCACCGATGTTCTCAACTGCTAACTGAAGTTCGCTGATACGCTCTGAATCACTCTTGTGTGAATTGACAAAAAGTTCGTTGATCATCTTGTCCAAGTTTCGGATGAGTGATCGCTTCTTCTGGATCATCTTGTTAACTGAAAGACACTTGGATGGTGTCTCCTGTTGTGCAACTAACTCAAGACGAGTGGAAAGTGGATAGTCAACAATCTGATTGAGAATCTCGATACGCAACAAAATAAGTTTGGCAACAATGCGAAGACATTCTTCTTTAGCTTCATTGGCTGCCATACGAAGACAGTCTGCTTCTTCCCAGCTAGCACCGATCTGGTCAAGAAGAACAACTTCTGTACGTGCACTCTCCATCTCTTGACGTGACTCTTCTTGGCGGTGACGAAGGTGTGTCTCTTTCTCTTCCCGCATAGATGCAATCAACTGTGCAAGTTGTTGTGATTTAGCGAGTTTCCGGTCGACATCTTCGTTGGTGCAGTCAAGAGGACGGCTGTTCCTGATGTTAGCGACGTAGTTAGAGAATGAAAGATGGTCGATCTTTTCGCTGAGAGAAATGGCTTTGTCACGTGCTGATTTACGCTCAATCTTAGATTGTTCGATGAACTTGCGAAGTTCAACGTATTTGTCGCGGTCGTAGTGTGAAGGAGTGACGTTTCGAAGGTTGGAAATCTTAGGCTGGTTCTTGATGCTGCTTTTAAGACTGATGATACGGAATTTGACTTCGTTCAACTTATCCAAATCATCAAAGACTGTTTTTGAGTTTTCGATGACATCTTGACCAACACCGCATTCTGTCGCTTTACTAAGGAACTGATCACGGATTTCTACAAGTCGGTTGTCGATAGTGTTCTTTCGACTTGGAATTGTGAACTCTTGGATAGAGTATTTAAGCTGGTTAGAAACAAACTTTGTGAAGCTTTGTGTATCTTTGATGTTGCATGATGGAGTGTTCTTTGAAATGGAATATGTCAGAAATGTATCGTAATTACGAGAAATACAATGAAATGCGACACCGTTTCCGACAAGTGCTGATGTATATACAAAAACACCATCGAAATTAACATCTAGTTTGTATTTAAACCAAATGTTATGGTCGAAGTTAAATAACCATGTACTTTGTGGCTTTTTCTGTGCATCATAGCCTCCAATGCAGAATAGCAGTGTATATATTTCGGCTGTATAATGTCCTGTCGTAGCAATTTCGTAGGGTGATTCGATTCTTTCGAAAGTTTTCGCTTCAAAATCGATTATGTATAGTTTACTGGAAACACCTTCTGGTGAGGTGCCACCATAAAGTAAGAATTTACCATTAGAAAGTAAAGTGATTGAATGTGAGTGTAATTGTAATGGAAAATTAAGAGATATTTGCTTTGTAACTGATGTTTCTAAATCAACAAAATAAAAATCGGCGTTGTTGAATGTTTTATCTTCACGAAGACCACCATGAATAAGTAATTGATGATCTCCTGCATAACAAGCCGCTGGTGAGATTAGAGGAGGAACATTTGTTGCAAGGTAATCCCAATTTTTACCATCCCAAAACCATAAATCGTTGTATACAATATTATCTTCATCTTCGCCACCAAAAAACACAATTCCTTTAGGAACCGAGATCATTTTTTGTCCGCTTCGTTGTGTAAATGGTATATCTGCAACTTGATTCCATGAAAATGCACTGTCTTCGTTTCGAATAAATCCTGAAAGAACTAATTTATAGATTTTCTGGTAACAAAGATAAACAGTATCCTCGAAAAAAGCTAGATTAACAAGTTTTCGCATGTCATCATGCTCAAATACTGGAGGATTCTTAATAGGCTTTACTACTGTTTTATTCGACATTTATAAAATTTTTTTTATATTTTGAATCGTGCAATAAAATCATTATTACATAGCACGAGAGCAAAGAATATACTATGAATGTTCCATGGCTAAGTAATAGCATGCTTCTTCAAAGTCAATAATGAGTTTTTCTTCAATATCGAAATCAAATTCACTTCACTTAATGACTTCTATTGATTCTCGATTGATTTATAAGAAACGCATGAACTATAACATAAGATAATTCAGCCAAACTTCTTTGTTTAGAAAATTCCAATAAATCCTATAGAAAATAATCTTTTATCTTGTGAATTTCTAAGCATATTTGATTAATACTTTTCATGGTTTTACGTATTATGTGAAAAATTAATATAATAAAAAAAATTTTTTTTAATAAACACTTACAATTCAGTTCTAACTCCTGTTTCATCATCAAGGAAGTCAACAACAGCCTCTTTGTTGAATTTTCCAGTATAAAGTTCTGGTTTATCCTTAGATCCTCTGTTAAACAGATACAAACAAGGAGTTCTCTTTGGTTCTGGTCCGTAAACAATATCATTAGCATGTACATTCAAAGCAGCGAGTCTGACTCTCTTTACAGACTTGTTCATAAATTCATCAGCAATTTCAGTGAAAATATCCTTGAAACGCTGGAATTGTTGATCCCAAGGTTCAAAGTATAACACGAGAACAGCAACATCAGGGTCAATAACCTCTTCTTTGAAGTTATTTGCTGATAAGAATCTGATTGAGCCATTATAGTCTTGAGGAACGTCCGAGGACTTCACTTCTGCCTTCATCTTGCCATCCAGGTACTCAATGATCCATGAGGAAATGTCTTCGTATATGAAATCTGCATCTTCTGGAAAACGGTTTTTGGTAAATTTGTTTCTACCTGTATATTGAAGGATTGCGACGCATGGATCTGCGTAGCGGCTGAATCCAAGGTCCATCATGAATCTGTTTCCTGTAACAGCGTCAATTTGTGTGAAATTCAGATCTTCTCCGAAATTTTCTGACAATTTCACAATTGTTGGCATAATTTGAGCACGCGGTTCTTCATTTACGGGTACAAAGAATACAATTACTGGTTTCTTCTTGATGTAATCGTCTTGTTTGTTGATTTGGAAAACATTGATCAATGGCCTTGAATTATAGTTAATCCAGGACGTAATATCGATAAGAGATGCTGTAGAGAAGTCTTCGTTGTATGTAGCTTGAGCGTGATCAACATTTCGATATAATTTTAATGTAGGGAATTTGGAAACATTTAAATCATCGGCGAGTAATTCATCTGCAACAAGACCGAATGTGAAGTTATCTCTAAGGATCTCAGATAACTCTGTGAACTTATCAAAGTCTGGACCTCCAACTTTTGGAATAAATAGGACGACAGTGACTTCATTGCCTTCTATGACATCCTGTGCTGATGGATAATCATCAAATGTTGTAAAGGGCATGCCTGTTTTTGACATAACGAAATTAAGGAATCCGCCTGTTGTTTGTGAGCCATAATAATTGCAAATCCTCTTACCATATCGGTAAAAGTAATAGCCTCGTGTATAAATAAGATTCAATTTACGTACAATATTTCTATTTTTTTCACCATCTAAAACGCCAAAGTAACATCTTGTGCCTAGACCAGATGCTGTTGCAAGGAAATCGCGAACTGCACGATATTGCTCGTTCTTATCGCCACCTTGGTAAATAAATAAGAAAAATGCAGGAAGTTCTTTGACTGTTCGTGAGAAATTGGACTCTGTTAGATAGAGTATGTTGGTCTCTTCTAAATTCTTACTTAATTTTGATTGCTTGGATAAAGTTAAAGCAAGAAAAAACGAAAGCATTTATAAATGGTTGAATAGATAAAAAATTTTTGCTAACTTGCTCGTTTCTCAGATTTATTGATCAAAAACATGGCGATTATGATATGTAGTAGATGTATATTGAAATTCATATCTTATCATAGCGAGGATTTTAATTTTCAAAATTTTGAAAAAGATTTTCAAGATTCTGGTTTATAAAACCAAATGAAAATGGTTACTAAAAACATGGTATATTATTTTTGAATGCATTTATTAAAATGCGGTGTTTACATTACAAATTCAGTGATATCTTTAGAAATTCAAAGCTATTTTTAATAGAGTAGGTCAAGAAAGTAAAGAAACCATATTTCAATGAAGTAGAGTGAAAGGAATTAGAGCTAAATATAGTAATATAAATGAATTTGTTTACTCATGATAACTGAAACTTCGACATGAACGTCTGGTTCAAGTGCAATCTGGGTGACCTGCTTAACAGCTTCAGCGGTTCCCTGGAAATCAATAACACGCTTGTAAATACGAAGTTCGAAATGGTCGTATGTTTCTGTACCGTTACCGCATGGTGCACGGCGTGTTGTAATGCGCAGGCGGCGGCGTGGCATTGGGATTGGTCCGCGGACTTCAAGATTGCCCTTCTTCAGCTTGCCCATAAGATTTCCGACAACTCTCTGAAGGTTTGGAAGCTTTGAAGATGTGATTGTGAGGCGAATCTTCTGGACTGGAAGATCCTCAATGATCTCCTTCTTTTCATCGCCAGTTGGAACGACGTGGTCAGCCATTACGTGGAAAGGGCCAGCCAAACAGAGTAATTCAAATTTAAGAAGAAAAATTTGAATCATAATATAATAGATATATCTTTTATCCACATTCGGTATACTATAAAAATTCCTTGAAAATTCACAGTTATCTTTAGAAAAAATAATTCAAATTTTTATTGTGCTTGAATCAATGAAAAACTGCTTCATTTGGAAATTTAGTGACCGATATAATAATGTTTAATGCCTAATAAATTAACTCCCGCAGCTTATATTTATTGAAAGTGGTATTTCTTGATAATTTGAACAAATATATTGGCATAAGCAGAATAACACGTGTTGTATAGTCTAAAATTAGAGTGCTTTGTTCTTAAAAATGTCAAAAACAGTTAATTAAATAAAATCATGATAAATTTCAAACATTTTATATTAAAATTAAGCAAGTTCTGACTGCAATTGTTGTATATCAACTATGCACTGAAATTGCTGAATCTTTTGAACTTCAATTATGAATTCTTCTCTTTCAATTGGTTGTAAAGACATCAATTGAAGACCTTTAGCGAGAGATTCATCATTGTGCGATTGTAGGTACTTAGAAATAGCACATCTTTGGATTGTCTTCTCATATTCAGTTGAAAATTCATCAGTTAATGAGAATTGACACCATTTTCCTATAATTGATGAAATATCAATTTCGAATCCAGATATAATCAAGCAAGCAATCAAATCAAAAAGTCCATGTCTTGATACTCTATCTGTACCTATTTTTCCTATATATTCTGGCTCATTTTCAAATGCCAAAATTGATTTTTCCGCGAAATAAAAAAGATCTTCATCACTTATGACTTTCAAATAGATCAATCTGGCAATAAACATAAGTTGCAGACAGTTCTCAAGAGGTGTATAATACTCATCAAATACATTTTTGCAGTTATCTACTAAAATACACAAATAAACAATCTTATTTGAAAACATTTCAGAAAATCTCGCAGGATTTGTATATAATTGTGTCAAATGATAACTCATTATTGACTCAACAACAATGTTATATGAATTTTTCTCAGAAATAACAAAGTTTTCAAATAAATCATTGACAAATTCTTCGCAATCAAGCTGTTTTCTAGCAATGAAGTTGAATATATGACAGAACTCAGTAAAAGACTCAACATAATCCAGAGAACAAAAGTTAGAAACGCAGTCAAGAATTGGAGAAAAATCAATTTCAGAATAAAAATTAGAAATACATGGCATAAGCATGCGAATAACATTCCTTGCCAGCTTAGAATTACTTATATCTTCATTTGAATTAACTTCTGCAAGCTCTTTGTTAATTTCTAACCTTTCATTAATAATTTCAATCAAAAATGCAATAAATTCATTGCAGAAATTACTTATTACTTGTGGATAAAATTCAAAACATGTAGAAATAGTTGAAATGGAGATAATTGATCCAAAATTGCTTGAATTTAAAATGATATTAAGTAAATTATTAAGAAGTTCTGTATTTTCTCTGTAAATATTAGTTTTCAAGCTAGATCTTATCATATTACATCCAAGTAAATAAAGTAATTCGTTATCAGAATCAGTATCTAAGAGATTTCCAATATTTGATAGAATTTCAAGAGATAAATCATCATCTAAAAACCATAATGACTGAGAACATAAATATAAAATGTTTGATTCTATTAAAACATCATGATTTTCACTGAATAATTGAATTATTAATTCCCTAATTTTGGTTTTAACTTCAGAAGAACATTCTCCATTTCCAGCAATCTCTGCTATAGCTCTTAGTTTGGCTTCATTGTCAATTTCTCCAAGAGATATTAAAAATAAATTTTGATTCATTGAAAATAATAAAGAAATAAACTGTAATGATACATTTCTTTCTGAAAAATATGAATCATTATTCTCAAATGCGATATCATAAAACATTGAAGGATTTTCATCAATATAACTTATTTCTTCTTCAGATAAAGCCAAAGTCATCAAAGAAATGTTAACTAAAGTAGTAAAATATTCTGTAATATCTATTATTTGAATCATGTTTTGAATGATTTGTAAAAAATATTTTGATATTGAACGAAATGGAAGAATCTTAAATATATTTTCTGAAACAGAGAGAATATTACTGATAAATGGATTCATTACATTCATTAATTCTATATTTGTAATACTAATACTTGAATCTAGAAATTTAAACATGTAATAATAGAGTTTGATAAATAGATCCTCGGAACTACAATCTTGAGATGCTAATATATGTTGTATAAATTGAGATGAAAGTTCTATAAAATCAGTTTGAATTATTAAGAAAATTGATTGTTGAAAATGATGAATCATTGTTTTATAAAAGTTGGTAATGACTATGCAAGATGTATGGCTATCAAAAACACTAGAAAAATGACTGTGAATCACATTAAACACGGAAATAAATGTTTGTAATAATTCATCATCAGATAATTGTAATGCAAGGATTTTAAAAATGTATTTTAATGCATATGATGCAAGTAATATGTTGTTTTCGATAGAAGATTCGAAATAATTAAGAAAAATTTCAAAAAGATTTTCAGTTCTGTAATCAAATAGAAGACATATAGAACAGTATAGTTTCATACATGATATTTCTGATGTGTTTCTTGAAAAATATAACTGTAACAGTAAATCTGCAATGGATTTTTGATCAAGCACGGAGAATTTGCCTATATTTCGCACTAAAGTAGGGAAAATAATGGGGAAAAGCATATCATCTGGGTATTGAATGAGAAAATTAAGGATATATGATAAAGAATTTGGGGTATTTTCGATCAATTCATTATACATTGCAACTGAATCGTCTGTGTGATAATTTTGCACCATTAAGATATTCCGAATCTCCTTTATGAATTCATTCATACTGCAGTTTCGGGAAAAAGGTGTCAAAGACAAGAAAAAGCTGTCGAATTTTTAATAAATGATATTATAATGATACACACTATTACTCTAATCTATTTAGTAAGGTGGTCGTTTCTGGTTGATAAAGCCAAAATCTGGGAAAAGCCAGTGGGGAAAAAATAATCTTGTAAAAAAATCGGGCCTCCGGCGGCAGCGCTAGCCCTTCGGGCGCGTAGCCGCCTCCGGCCATGAACATCACAAAGTTAATGTCGCCATTTATGAAATATGCCCTATATTATTTTTCCTTTTTCTTTCCTTTCCTCCTTTTTCCTTTTATTTTCTCCTTCTCTTTCTGTTCTTTTTTCTTTATTCATTGATTTCCTCTTGGTATTTCGAAATTTTATTCAAATAATTTAATAACTTTATAAACCAATTAGTTTAATAATTTATACATTATCTACCAATTTTACACTTCAAATTTTACAGTTTTTTAAAGTGGATCAAAGTAGTAGGATATGAAGGGTTTAGTGACTTTTTTTGTAAACGTAAGAATCATACATTTTTGAATAACTGAAGGTGTCACTACGTCACCATGTGTCACCTGGTTAATTAACTTCTCTTAAAAATGATGACAACATGACATTTAGACAACAGGTACGAAAGGAGGAAGGCATTTATGTCTTACATTTTTGAATAATTTATTTTTTTAATTCGTAAGAAATGAACGGAACAAAATTCGTGACTGTGAATCAATTCTCACCCAGGTTAAACAAGTAGACGTTTATTTTATAAAGGTAAGTTTAATATTAAACCTATTGCTTTTGCATTTGATGGTAAATTAATCGAAAATTCAAAAATTTGGGAATTAATTCCGGATAAATGGTTTAAACAACAAAACCACCTCACTAAAGTTCTTTGTAGATTAATGATTAAAACTGAGGAAAAAGAATTTAACGGGTTTAAATATCATCCATGTAAAATTTTAGAAAAAAATTAAACGATAGACTATCAAAAGATAAACTCGCTAAAGGTAATGGTAATGATGAAGAAGAATTTGATGAGTTCAACATAGAACTTTAAGAAACTAATGATTATTTGAATTTATGAAATCAATTATTTGATTCATTCTTTCTTCAATCTCTTCTATTCTTTTTGTTAAATCATCTATTTTCATTAATGAGGTGATTCTTGATTGAGGAATAGATTTCAAACTAACCACTCCTTTTATTTTTGAAATTTTGAATCCATCAACTTTAAACATTTTATTCAATTTACATGTTGTCAATTCTTCAAATAATTTTTTATTATTAGCATAATAGTCATTAAATTCTTTAACAGATGAAAAATTTTTTATTTTAGTAATTGGTTTAACAACGTTTATTTTTTGTTGAACATTTTCACTTTCATTTATTTCTTCCTCTGTTTCATTTATTTTTAAAATCGGTTTCATTTATCATTAAATAAAAATTAGAATATAAGTGATGAAATATATTTTTTAATTAATATTAAATCAGAAATGGCGGCAGGATTCTTTAAAAAATTATGGGATGGAATTAAGAAAGCTGCGGGTTGGGTTCATAAAAAGATTATTAAACCCATTGCAAACTTTTTGGCACCAGTAGCGAAAACGGCAGGAACTATCATAGGTGGAGTATTAGGTACTAAAGCAGGTAATCCGGCGATGGGAGCACAAGCAGGTAACGCAATTGGTGGAATAGCTGAAGGAATACTTAATAAAATAGGAGGTAGATAGTGGAAAAATAAATTATTTTAAAATTATTTTTATCTTAGTATCGGTTGTAGTCTTTGATAAACTTTTTCTCCTTTATTTAAAACTTCTCTTATTGGGGCAGCTTTTGGCGTTATTGATTCAGCAACGTCACTAATTGCTTCTTTATTCTTAAATATCCAATTTGCCCCCTTCTTCAATGTTTCCCAAACTTTACTCGCTCCTCTTTTTACTTTATCCCACAGTTTCTTAAATATACCTGCAGCCATAGTTGATTATTTCATTAAAATTAAAAATTCATTTTCATCTTTTAATTTTGATTTTTTATTTATTAATAAATGACGACTAACTATTTGGTGCCAAACACTAAACCGATTAATGGAAATGTGTTTCATTCATTCGAAAAGATAAATGAAATATTCGCAAAGAATGACGGTAGAAGATATTATAGAGAACTTGAAAGTTCATGCTATGACTCTGATGCTCCATATTTTGATGATAAACAAACTCATTTACGAATTACAAATCCGGCTCATGATGTGAACCAATTAGGTGACACATATATTAAACGCAAAGTTAAAGCAACTCTTGTTTCAAATAAAGCTTTCACATGTGATGCCGCTTTTAAATGCATGCGTTTATTCGTTGGTTACAAATCATCAAATCAAAGCTTTAAACAATTAGAAGTAGAAACTGAAAGAGGTGATGCCGGTTATCTTCAGATGGATTGCGCCCGTGAATCTTTCGCATTTGCAAACATATAAACCAAAATCAGAAAGGAAAGTTAAAAAGTTTGTTCATTCGTTATATAATAATGTTCAAAATATGATAACTCAGTATGTGGTAAATATATTGACCCTTCAGAAGTTTTCAAGAGAGCAAATGAAGAAGTTGATGTCACTTTTGATATGATTATTCCGGTAAATGATTTGTTAGCATTTCAGGCGTTCGATGATTATCCTAAATCATTTGGTGATATCATTCTTAAATATTATGTTTTCAGGGATACTTTAGTATTTTGTCAGGTTGACCCGTTAAGAGTTGCTGATTTACAAAATTACGTTTATGAAAAGATAACTGATGAAAATTATGAAAAGATTATGAATCATGTTTATAAATATGATCGCAAATTCCAACAAATCGGACTTCCTACCAAATTAATTACAAGCTTAGCCGCTACATCTGCTGAGGCAACAGTTGATGACGTTATTATTTCATGCACAAAGATGGAAGTTTTAGAGGATAAATGCATTACACCAGGATACGGTTTAATTGAAGAATCAGTTAAAGCAATACCACGTTTATTTAGTAAGGAAGATCCATTAATGATTCCAGCTCAACATATTGACGTTCGTTTCACTAAATGGAGGTTGCATCACTCCTGAAGGTATTAGCTCAATTTCTCATACGCTCTTCATAATGTTACAGATGTTGTGTTAACATTTCCGAAGAATGCAATGCAAAGAAACGGTTTTAGAAATCCAATGCTTCGAGGTCTTCAGGTCACTATAGATTCCAGAAACTTCCCCGATCAAGCGATGACCACAGTGGGTGACATATTCTTTACACGTATGCTTCAAGCTTCTGATTTAGATGGAGTGAATGAATGCACGGAAGAATACGAGACTCATTAACTAGACCACTGAATGATGATAATGGCACACCATTAGCTAGAACATGGAAAGACCAAACTTCATTCTTATGCACTATTCCAGTTCAACGTGATGGAGCGGGTATATTCTTTGATGGATTAGAAACTTTCAACTCACAAGTTACAGTACAAGTGAAGCTTATCCAATCATTCAGGGTGAAAATGACACTTACTGTTCAAAGTGACAAATCCTCCTCAGGTTTGGTTTACTAGGACTACATATTGGACATGGACACCGGACGAAGGTTTGAAATATCATCCAACAGGTACACACCACAGTATAGAAGTTCATATGATGAAATATTGATGAATAGAAATGTTTAAAATTATAAATTTATTTTTGATTAAATGGATTTAAATTCATCCACCCCTTATGAAGAATTAGCGGGAGTATATAATACATACGTAGTGATGATATGATTAATGAAGCATTGAGTGATAATAGATAAATGCTCTATCTAAGGAAAAAATTAATGAAAATTCCATATTCTGAATGTTACTTAAATCAATCACTGCAGCAATTGGTAAACAGAATAAAGATAAAACATTAACGATATTAAAACAAATTATCATTATTGCTAACACTTCCCCCTATTCACATGTGTTAATTTATATCAACCGTTCAGGTTCACCTTCAGATGATACATTGAATCTTTAAAGCATTTAATCAAAATTCCAATTATTTATTTATCACAAGAAGAAGCAGAAGATTATTTAAAAAACTTTTTAATGTATAAAGAATTATATAATACAATCAAGAAGCAAGGATTAGAGGATAAAATTATTGATAAACAACGGGATGAATTATTTGAAAACACTTCTATTTCAAATTTTGATAGAGAATTTTTGCATTCACTCATTTTTCTAGATGATGCAGTGAAATCAAAACTAATAACAAACGAGAAATCATATTTTAATCAGTTATTAACTCAATGTCGACACATTCAGTGTTCATTCTTTATGGCTGTTCAATACTTCAAAGCATTAAGCACAAACATTAAATCAAATCTATCAACACTTTTCATTTTCAGTGGGTTTAGTCGTCAACAGTTGAACGTTATGCTTTATCAAGTGAATTTACCAATGAGCATTAATGAACTTTACACACAATATCAGCAATTAGGTGAACATGGAAAAATAATAGTTGATTTAAATAAAGGAGTGTTAAATTTGATTAACTTTTTATAATTAATTTTTATTTTTTATTTATAATTAAACATGACAGAAATAGCAAATCTTCTACAGGTTCCATTAAAACAAGGAACAAACAAAAAGGGTGCATATAATAGAACTATGAAAGTTCCTGATGGAATGAAAGAATTAGTTCATATTGTTGCTGGTCTTCAAAAAGATGTTAAACAAATGAGAAACGTTTTAACATTACCAGAAGCTCAAGCATATGCCAAACGTCAAGGTCCAAATTGGGAAGCACACGAAGCAGACATTACGGGTCCAAATGGAAAACCTGATGGTATAAATGAAGTTTTCGTTACTGATGGTCAAGGTAATATTAAAGTCATAAATGGTTACAAATTAACTATAACTGATTATCCTAAACGTAAAGCATATAATGAACGTTATCCTATGCAATTTGATGAAAATGGAAAAGCTGTTAAACAATACATTGGAGAAGGTGAAAATGGTCCAATTAATTCATACCGTTATAATCCATATTCTTATTTCAATGAAGAATTAAATGCTATTGAAGAGGGACCGGATGGATTACCACGATATTCTAACCAGTTTGATGGTCAATATGCAAATATTAGACCTGAAATTTCAGCTAAGAAATTCTTTAAAGTTGCTTTATTCGATCCAGTTTTCGCAAATGTTAAAGATGAACTTAAACAGCAATTCCAACCAATTATAGTAGCAAGAATTGCATCAGGTGCTTTATCTCAAGCATTCAAAGATTTAATTAAGAAACCATTATATCAGCAACGAGGTTTAACTTATGATTTAGTTAAGGAATCAGATAAAAGAAAATTTGAGAAATCAGATGATTATAAGAATGCAATTAATGAATATATTAGGTCTATTAATTACAATGAAACAGCTAAAAATCAACTTCAAGAACAAATACAGGGAATAATAGATTCAAAACTTCCAGCAAAATAAAAGTTTAAATATATTTTTTTATTCGAATATAAATGAGAAGACGTTTCACTAGTCAAAAGAACACTAACGCAAAAGCAGAGATTACGGTTGGTTATAACGTAAATGATGATAAATCACGAATTATTCAAAATGTTAAAGTTAATGTTAGCCCCGAATTAACAAGGTCAGCAACTCAACCAAATTTATTAACTCGTGACTTACCGAAAAAGGAGGAGGAGCAAAATAAAGAAGATGGAGACCCAATCATTTTATCTGAACCCGGTAAAGAACCTGTTGAAATTCCCACTTATCCAACATACCCCCCACCTCTTTCATCAAACATCGAGAACCCATATAAAATAGACATTAATTCTGAATTAATGAAAATTTACCGTGATATAATAATTAATAATTATGATTCAATAATAAATTTAATTGACCAATCCGGTTTAATTATTTTACCTTATGAATCATTAATTCACATTATCGCCATTCTTTGTGATGTTCAAGATTCAGACGTTAAGATTCAATTTTTCATAGATGATGAGGTTTCATGCTGCGGAACAGTTGCAAAAATAAATCCTATAAAGGATATTAGCACAATTAAGATATCAAAGAACGGAACAACAACTGAACTTCATTTAACATATAATGATATTTATAATAAAATAGTTGATGAATATAAAATATCACTTGAAAAATTCTTTGTTAAGGCTATTTAATATTCAAGCATTAACATTATCGAATAATAATCCTTTGAATCATAATCAATAATAATTGACCTTTCACCAGTTTCTATCGTTTGTTTTATTTCTTTTTGTTCCCCACTATCCGGATCGGTCATTGTAATTGTTTTTGTTATAGTATCAGCTTTATCTTTAACTTCAATCTTTTTTCCATCGGGATATTTAAACCAAAATTCCAAAAATTCGATATTGTCAATCTGTTCATATTTTAATCTATCAATTACATTTTTAATACCATCTGAAAATCTTATGAAATGGTCATTATATGGGTTTGATTGAACTAAATTTGAATGAAGTGAAATATAACCTGTTGATGAATATGACACTGACTCATATTTTCTGAAAACACTAAAATTTATAACATGAATGAATTTCTTATTCGTTGAATTTATGAATTCTTGAGGTAATCTTATTCTAGTTTTATTTATCACTGGAAAATAACGCTTTACCATATTTTTAATCGTAATAAAAAATGTCAATTATCAATATTATTTCGAATAATAACTGTGAATTAAATTTAACAGTTAGCGGAATTTATAATGTTACTCTCGTTTCTGTGAGTGGTAAATTTAATCCCATTCTTTTAGACCCTTCAGATTATATATCATTTATTAAAGATGACCTTGAAAAAACGTATGATATGTATATAAATAATGTGATAGCGAAATGGGATATTAACATGATTTTAAGTTATTTAAATGAATCATTTATCGTATGGTATGAAGAAAATTTTAAATCAAAACCTGATAAACTTTTTGAACTTGATGAAATAAATAACCTTATTAAATTTCCGCTGAAAATTAAATTTTGTACTCCTCATCTTCGTTCATTGTTGGGGATATTAAATTTTGAAAAAGATGTTGGGGATGTTTTGTATTCTGACACTGGTTCCAATTTCATTTTAATCAAATGTGATAAAGTTAATACCCCAATGAGATTTTCACACCAAACATTAGACCCTAACTCTTACCCATCAATACAAAACATTTTATCCATCAACTTAAACATATTTTCTTTATCATATCCGTTTCAATTATCCGGGAATTCATTTATTCTTCATTCAAAAGATTTATCAAATATTAAATTTAGAATAACTGACCTATTTGATTGTGATTTAGAATTTATGAATGAAATATTATGGCAATTTCAAATAGAGAAAATAGCTGATGAGATAACGGATTAAATATTTATTTTTAAATCGTAATAAATGATTAAACAACAGCAACCACAACAACTTAAGGCGCAAAGCACCCAGGTCCTTCAGACCATTACATACGCCATATATGCATATAATTCAAAGACGGCAGAACAAACGCAAAGGTTGAAATATGGAGATTTGGAGATAGTATTGAAAAATGACCGTTTCGAATTCGTTTGCAAAGGTGGTGCAGTGATATCAAATATAAAAGAAATTTTATTTATGAATTCAAAAATTAAAGGAATAACGGATGATATAACATCAATTCCACCAGAAGAACAGAGATATTACGCATTAAATGCATTTCCTACAGTTTTGAAGATTGGAAGATTTAATTTAAATGAGGAATTCATAGAAGGTTTCCTAAATGACATAATGAAGAAGGTAGATAAGGAATACGTGGATAGTGAGTTAATGAAGAAGGCAAATTTGGTTTATGTAGATGAAAAAGATAATGAAATTAAAGAAAAGGTTGAATGGTATCATGAATGGACATCGGAGACTTTTAAAGTTAAAGCTGATACAGGATGGGTTTCAGGATGTTTAGGCCTTAAAGCAGGTAAAACTTATGTAGATGAAAATTATGCAAAGAAGTCGGAAGTAAATGATGTGATTACAAGCATGAAAAATGAAATACTTCAAACATTATATCCTATAGGCTCTATTTATACATCAATGAATTCAACAAATCCAGCAACAGTTCTGGGTTTTGGTTCATGGAAGCAGATTGTAAACAAATTCTTATACTGTACTACTAATTCAAAACAAGCGGGTGGTTCAAAGAAAATTAAAGAAGCAAACCTTCCACCGCACACTCATACAGGAACGACAAACTTTTCTGGCGACCATAGACACTCATTAAGAGACCACCCATTATACAACTCTGACTATGAAGCTGGTTATGATGTTTTATCTCCAGCTTATAACGATTCAACAAAAAAGACTTTTCGACAAACTGAACCAGGAGGAAATCATGTCCATACTTTCACAACAAATCCAACAGGCTTGGGTAAAGATTACATGCCACCATTTGTGACTGTATTTGCATGGTACCGAATGAACTAAATATATTTTATGTCTGTAATTAATTAGGTAATGAAGTAGCGGATGAACTGCAGAAATATATTTTATCGTTAATGTTTTCAGGTTATTCAATAATTAATTATTTTTGAAGAACTGAAGGTGTCACTACGTCACCATGTCACCAGGTTAATTAACTTCTTTAAAAAATGATGACAACATGACATTTTGACAACATTCCCGGAAATATATTTTATCGTTAATGGTTTTAGGTTATTCAATAATGAATTATTTTTGAATAACTGAAGGTGTCACTACGTCACCATGTCACCAGGTTAATTAACTTCTCTTAATTATTCAAAAATGTAAGACATAAATGCCTTCCTCCTTTCGTAACTGTTGTCTAAATGTCATGTTGTCATCATTTTTAAGAGAAGTTAATTAACCAGGTGACACATGGTGACGTAGTGACACCTTCAGTTATTCAAAAATAAATTTTCTTATCATTCAAATTAACTAAAGATGAACTTAATAAAATGATGATAAAATAACTGATAACAAAATTTTATTTTATATAAATGAATACCCCACAAGCTCAAAATTTACCACGAATCATAACAAGGGAGGAAATGATAAAAATGATGCAAGAACAAATTAAAAACAACAAACCACGAAACCGAGAAGATGCGGTTATGCAGTAATGATGGAAAGAAGAACCCAGAAGGGTTCGGCGTCTCGAAGAGATGTTGTCGAAGAGGAAAAAAATTAAATTTGGATTGAGTTTAAAAATTCATCTTTTTAAATTCATCTTGTCCAATCAATTTATTTATTCTATTAAATTCTTTTATTTTTGCTTCACTCAGTTTAGGATTGAACGGTAAGTTTCTATTTTTTCGATTATTTCTTTCCTCTCTTTATCGTTTTCAATTACTTTAGTTTTATGGGCATCAGCCCCGCCGCATTGCAGCTTCTTTTTGTAATAGCATATTTTTGATTTAATTCTTTTAGTTTCTTTTTATATTCATCGTCTGGACTCTGAATCTTAATTGAATCAAGACTCTTGGGCTTTGTTGTCACTCATTTCTTACGAAATAAAAAATTAAATATTATTTAAATATAATGGAGTAATAAAATAAATCGGAATTTCTATTAATTTATTGTTAACCTCAACTAATGCATTGCCGTTAATATATCTAACAAATCAGCTATTGTGTCAAATCTTCGTCTTCTTTTTGTCATTGATTTATCAGTTTTTCCATAATCGAGATGAATCAAAACTTTATCCCCTTGTTTAAAATTCATGAGCCCAAATTAATTTGTTCACGTTTAACATCATTTAACCTTTCCATTTGCTTTCTAATATATTCCATTCTTTTGAAATATCATTTTTCATTTCCACTGGTTTTCATGTTATAGTTCTATGCCATGTATTATTGTAATAATAACTAACTGCTGTATGATGGAGTCATGATTTCCATCCCAGTATATTGACCGTTAACCCCTAACGCATCTCTAAGAGTTCTCATTACCGCATCAACTATTTGTTATGAAACGTATTATGAGAAGATGAGAAGTAAAAATTAATTTGTGGGAAATAATGAGCCATAGTTGCCTGAAATCCTTTATCACCATCACCCCTTATATTATCTACTCTTTCATGATCTAGTAAGTATTGAATAGCTCTTCTTATTTCCTGTTCTGTTTTCCCTTTCACCGGAATGCAATATAAATATCTAGTGTTAATGTTAATGGCAAATAAATAAGTAACGTTTCCTTTTGAATATTCCAGATGATCGATTTCTTGATATGGATATGGAGCAAATGAAGGGCGACTAAATTTTTCCTTTAACGGTTGAATTTCGGGTCAATTGGTTTATTTAATATCTTGAAATCCTTTTAAAATCTTTTTGCTTCTTTAATGTTTGAAATGGATATAATAAAGTGAATGATGAAGGATTAACTGAAGGAGGAGGAGGTACTGTCGTTGGAGGTTTTGGTGTCAAGTGGTTTAATTTATCTGCTTTGATTTGGATGATGAAGTTTTGGATTTCATTCCCCCTTCATAATTTCTGGATGTATTCTATTCATTTGTTTTAAATATGCTGTATATAAGGTTTGATATACTTTCCCGCTTCGAGTTTATGTTGAAGGATGAATTCCAAAAGTTGATCTTCATTTAAAAAGTCGGGCTGAATATGATTTAACTAATGAATCATAAATTAAAGCTTGTGCTTCATTTATGGTCTGAAGGATCCGGCGTTTTGCACCTTTTGTTTTTGTTTCCTTTGGTTTTTGCGGCTCATGATTATATAATTTATATATTCATCATATTCTTCTTCTGTTAATACTTTATTTTGAAATCTTTCAATTGTTTAAGTTGTGATTTAGTTTTTTCCTTTGTATATTCATTATTTTTAATTTTGTCTTTAATTTTAGAAATTATTTTATCATGATATTTCAAAATTTCATTTTATAATATGGATAATAATAATCCATATATCACCCGTTATATTGTTATTATGTTTTTGGAGATATGATTTTAATTCATAATAATTAAGAAAATTTTGATTAAGTACTAAATCATAAATTAAATTTTTTAAATCTGTGTTATCCATTTATATAAAAATAAAATAAATGTTTAAGGGTGCCCATCATTCAACGGTTCCTTTTGTCTCTTCTGTGGCATTTCATTAAATAAATGGCATACAACATCCATTTTCACAACATACAGCCTTAGTGTGTGCTCCTGTTAATGCAGTCTTACCGATTGTTAAGCGAGTCATTGACCCGTTTTTAAGTTGTAAATTAATATTCTGACCATCGAAAATAACTTTATCATTTATTATATCCAAATAATTTTAGGTGTTAATTGTTTATTTTGTCGTAAACTAACACCTTTCATTTTTTGTGCAATCTTTTTAAAATCACTTCCATCAATTGAACCGTTGAATGATGTATAACACTTAGGGCATAAAGCAACCATGTTATCGCCTTGTTTCTCAATTGCTAAACCCAATAACTTCTTCTCATGTGCTTTTTCTTCAGCTTTATTCTTTAATTTAGGTTTAAATTTCTCATCAAAACAGAAGAAATCAAATGGTGCGAATTTGAAATGTTTTTATCATAAAATTGTTTATCGGTACAAATTGCTTGAAATGCTTGAGTGTTAGGAAGATTTGGGTTGCCAGCGATTGCCCAATAAGATGAATCAGTATCACCTTCAATGAAATGAAACGATTAACATCCATGCATTTATACATAAAATCATAAATGAAAAATAAATACCAGTATTTTGCGTTATCTAAAGTGAAGAATGCCTTGTAAACATGTATCACATCTATAAATCTATCTTTAAGCATCACTTGATATGTTATCTTCACCTATTTCTCTTATGTTTTTAAACTTATTTGGATACATGCAACGCGTGCTTCTGTGCATTCATTATTTTAGTCTTTGCGTAATTTTGTGTATTCATTGCATCGTAACCATATGATCCATAAGTGAAATCTTGCAAAATAAACTTTTTCCTTTATTTCCTTCTAATTCAGCCTTTTGTCTTTCGTTCATAAATTTGTTCGCAAATTCATTAAAGCAAGTGTTTTTATAAATGTTAAAATTGATTGAATATCATCGATGATAAAATGAATATCTGTCGATTAGATACCAAAGATAATAAGAAGAAAATGGTTGATATTGGTTGTGTGTTGATGCTAACTGAGTTAATTTCCTCTGTTTCTGGTCAACTGGTAGATTGTTTGATTTCATGTAATTATACATAAAACTGCCAATTGTTTTTTCATCTGTGATAATATCTAAGTTTTCTTATTATCGGTAAAAGTTTATGTAATATTAATGTATTTTTCATCAATGTGACCCTTATACTTCAGCCACGAATAAAGTATTTTTCTTCTTAATTATTCCCAGTGCTTTTGCTTTCTTTGTTGCTGTATCACAAATGATAACACCATTCAATCTTCCCGGCATATACATTTTATGGTCAGTATATTGAATGAAATCATGAGGATTAGATGAAACTGATGAAGGATATAATGAATTAAAATCAACACCAACGAAATGAGTCATGATGTTGGAAGTGTCCTCATTTGATACAGTTTTAGTTTTCTGGATTATATGAAAGTTTATTAATGTGCGTGATTCCTTTAAGATTATACTCTATGTTGAACATTTGATAAACCACCAGTAATTCCATTACGGAGAATGTGATAAGCTTCAACTGAATCTAAAGTCATTGGTAAATTATTTTTTAATGCGTAATTTCTTAAATTGATTCTTAAACGTTGAACATCTTCATCTTTATTTTGATTCACGACATTGCAATAACAACACATTAACCGACAATTTTCTTTGGTATGCGGTTTTTTCATTATCGATTTCTATCCAATGTTGGTTTATTTGCATATGTAAAAGCTTTACACACATTTTGCATTTAGATGAAAGGATTAAATCGTGATAGTATTGAAAATCATCCATTGAAACATTATTTTAGTATCTCTTTCTGCTTTTTCATCTTGTTTCTTATATGATTCAATTTTATATTTCCAATACTTTTTCGTTAATTCAAAACTTGATTCTATCTCTTCCTCAGGATATTTTTCATTAGGATTAAAGTCTTTATATGCTAAAGCGTAACGAATCATTGAAGCATTCGATGATAAAGAAAGATTATGAAGCATATCAATTTTATAAACAAATGTTTCTTCAATAATTTTATCGATTGGGTCAATCATAATTTCAACATCTTTATTGCAATAATGAATAAAATATTCTAATCTATTCTTAAATTTTTAGCATCATTGAGATATATTTGATATCACTATCTGATATAGTTTCTTGAGTTAATGCTGAATAAAATGAATCTTTCGTGAATGGTTCCTTCTTTATATAATTCTTCTTCGTAATTCTCCCATGTGATAAATTGATAAGGGAAAAAGGATTTAACACGTGATTTATTGTTTCCGAAATCTTGAGTGAATTGGTCTAATGTCCCACCCGCTTATAATTTCTGATGTCAATAAATCTCAATTCATATGGAGCGTTTGTTTTCTTTACAATGATTTGCTTAAATTGTGAAGATGAACCCAGCATTGATTTTATTTTCCATTTTGCAGTATTTAAATCACGAGAAGAATTAAATTTAAATCAAACTTTCCCGAATTAAAACTATGATATTCACTTTATTGAATTCCTCATCTAGAAGTTCTTTAATGCTTCTTCTGTTTTTCATTTAATGTATGGACAAAGTCCCGCCGTTGCGGCTTCATTAATTCATTGTATTGATCATATTTGATTTAGCAACTAATGAACAGGTTGAAAATAAAAATTCAATCCAGTCAGAAATAAGAATCACTCGAAGTTAAACAAAAATTCCTCGTATATGTTTTTATCATTTAATTTAACCGTTGATGATACCATGAATGGTTTTAAGTAAGCGTTCAAAGTTGCACACTCAGAAAGTTGTAATTCTTCTTTAGTCTCTAATGTTTCAAAGTCACAAAGTAATATAATATCTTGTCGGTTTATAATATTTCTGCAAATTGTGAGCTAAATAACCACTGATATATCTTCTGTTTCGTAATATGTGGTGCATATGGTTGCTGGGTCTTTTGCAATTGAACGTCTTGAATTAATCTTCCATTATTTTCTTTACATTTCTCACAATGCTTTTAAAAAATTTCGGTTTTTCCTTTCTGGATCATCACGGATAGAATAAACTTCTTCTTTACAATATGGAAACTTTATAGCCGGTGAGTGCTTCAACGTCTGTTATTCTGTCAGCGTGAAGTTTTCCACATGGACTCTGTGTTAATAAAATATTTACTGTTTCAAATTCTGGATCTATCATTATTGATTCCACTAATGGAAAGTCTACCTTATTTATGTCCACGCCTTCTGGTTGAGGATCACAATAATAGAAATCAATATTAACATTTAACATTCTCGCTAATCTCTCACTTTCTGATGAAATGTCAAACCCTTCATATGCATCTATTGCTTCATTTAAATAGCTTCTACGAGTTTTAGGATTAACACCATCAGGAATGTTATAGAAGCGTTTAAATAACCTTCTACCTTCTGCTCTAATTTGATTATCATTCATTTTAGCTGCTCCGTTTTTGTTCATTTATGTAAGAATAAAAAATTAAAAAATAAATAAAAATAAAATTTATTTTTTAAAGCCCATAAAATGAATTAAGAACACATAAATTTTTATCATCTGCGACGTGACGAATACATTTTAATTTACTCAAGAATGTATATCCTGACACATTAAATCTAATTCCTGTCTTATTTAATTTCACAACTTTGAAAAGGAATGTATGAATAGCTATAAAATGATGAGAAGATGTTTTATGGGTTGCTTCCATTTTTTCTGAAATAAATGAATAAATATAATGTTTATAAGTTTTCATATTTTTTATGTTCTTAATAACGAATGGTATAGACCTTTCAACTTCGTCTTCCTTCGGTGCTGTTCTTTCATATGAAACATTATTGGTATCTTCAATAATGAAACCACAATCACACAAAATTTTATAGGTTCCAATGGTTTCTTTTGATATTTTATCTAATAAATCAAAAACTTTATCAACACCTGTGCATTTATTTAAATAATAATTTGTGTAAATATCATGATCTTCTTTCTTAATCGTATTAGTTGCATATGTCACGTTTTTAAGAGCTTTTTTGAATTTTTCGGAATCTAAAGGTGGTGAAAGTAGGATACAGGGGTATTCTTCATTATCAATAAATTGTAACTTATGTTTACGAATAAATTTAGTACCTTCTTCTGAAAGTGTTTCGTCTATTTCACCATCTAATAAATTTTGTGTTGATTCTGAGACATAATTTTTATATCTTTCTTCATGAGATTTCTGTACTTCTGATTTTGAAGCTGGGATATTCATTAAACCCTCTACTTCATTTTCATTATATTTTCAACTTCTCTTAATTCCTTAATTTTTTCATCTATTTCATCTCTTATTTTTTCCAGTCTTTCAATTTCATCGTATTCATCATCTTTAATTCGTTCTTCATAATATTCGGGGAAAACATCAGGTTCTTTAGGTTTTTCTTCTTCAGATGTGGGATATAAGAAATTTATAACATCATCTTTATTCATTTTTCCATCATAATCTAAATCATTTAATAACTCGGCAAATTTTTTACAATTTCTTAAATAATATTTATCAACTTCATAACCCACCTCCTCTAATATATCCTTTATTTCCTCGTTTGTGAATCCTAATTTTTTAACGTTGTTAGTTTTGACGCTCATTTCATACAAAATAAAAAAATAAAATAATAAACATAACTAAGTTTTAATTTTTCGTAAGACATGAATTTCGAATTTCTTTGATTATGACTCCATTGATTCCATTCAAGATTTAAACAATGTTTAATTAATCGCGGAATATCTGACATCATCTATATATAGCTTCTTTTATAAAAGAATAAAAAATAAATTATTTTAAAATTAATGTTAATTTTTTAATGATTTATAAATAAATATATTTTAATGCATCGTCTATATATAGATGATTTAACAAAAAGAATAGAAGAGATTGAAGAAAGAATGAATCAAATAATTGATTTCATAAATTCAAATAATCATTAGTTTCTTAAAGTTCTATGTTGAACTCATCAAATTCTTCTTCATCATTATCATTACCTTTAGCGAGTTTATCTTTTGATAGTCTATCGTTTAATTTTTTTCTAAAATTTTACATGGATGATATTTAAACCCGTTAAATTCTTTTTCCTCAGTTTTAATCATTAATCTACAAAGAACTTTAGTGAGGTGGTTTTGTTGTTTAAACCATTTATCCGGAATTAATTCCCAAATTTTTGAATTTTCGATTAATTTACCATCAAATGCAAAAGCAATAGGTTTAATATTAAACTTACCTTTATAAAATAAACGTCTACTTGTTTAACCTGGGTGAGAATTGATTCACAGTCACGAATTTTGTTCCGTTCATTTCTTACGAATTAAAAAAATAAATTATTCAAAAATGTAAGACATAAATGCCTTCCTCCTTTCGTACCTGTTGTCTAAATGTCATGTTGTCATCATTTTTAAGAGAAGTTAATTAACCAGGTGACACATGGTGACGTAGTGACACCTTCAGTTATTCAAAAATGTATGATTCTTACGTTTACAAAAAAAGTCACTAAACCCTTCATATCCTACTACTGATCAAATTTCATTTTATTAAGATATTAAAGTTTTGGAATCGGTATTATTTTGAAAAATCACCTAAGTTATTTAATTAAAATGGTATTATTCAAATATTGAAATTTAAATATAATTTGATTTGCTTAATTTTTTAAATCTGTAAGTACAGTTTTGTTTGAAGTAACAAAAAAATGATATATGCAGTTAGCGAAGTAAATTTACTAATAATAAAAAAAGTTTGCTCTAAATCAATTAATTTAAACCTTTGGTAATGATAGAACATGCATAATATTTAAAATATGGATGAAATTCTTTGTATAAAGGTAAGTTGATGAGTTTTTTTCGAATCTGGGTTTAAAATATCTGAAGGTAAACAATTGATCTTAAGTGTTTATGCTGTATACCAAGAATTGCATTAGATTCATTGTGGACTATTTGTTCAAATCTTTCCCATTCAATCACAAGATACTGAATCTGATGGAAAATCATTATTACTGTGAAATTCGCATTGATATCATATGATGATCCATTGCCCGAGAAGTTCGGTGTATCCCAAGTATATGAGGAACACGTATGTTTTTCCCCAGATTTTGGATGAGGTATGGTGAAAATTGAGAACTTTTGTAAAGAAATTGAGAGATTTTGTAAAAAAATTGAGAGGAAAATCTGGTGAAAGAATCACAGATGTGGTGATACCAGAAGGTATGGGAATTGGATGAATACAGGATAGTATGCTCCTATATGAATAGTAGAAACATAATCCATTATCAAATCATCTGGGAAACAACTTTTTCTTCTCCAAAAATATTTTGAAAATGAAAAAATGAAAAAAAATTTATTACCATAAAAACCAGATTTTATTACCTCGGGGAACGTTTCCCAGCACTTTTCCACCAGAATCGGCCACCTTATATTTAGTATGAAATGAAACAAATTTAATCATATATGATATATCAAAATTTAATTCAATCAATTCATTATCTTTTATAAGAATTAATTAAAAACTGTGCAACCAGGCTGTGAATAATGCTTTCAATTTTTACTTCCCCATTTCATTTTTGAAACTTTTCCGAGTTGAAGGTGTCTAATCATGATCAGAGAAGAACTGCGTGAAGGGAATGCAACATTGCAAGATGAATTTCCATCATGGACTACTTTTGTTAGATATTCTCAAATGATTACAATCTGGTATCTGATTCCTAACAATTTAATCAAATATCTCTATACAATCTCAACTTATAATTTAGTTTCCTATCTAATTTATCCATATCTATTTAATGAAATGTTTTATCATACAGAATATTTGAAAATTCTTTGATTTTTCAAGTATTTCCAGATATTCTTCAAAGAACATGCTGTAAAAATGATAATCTTACACTGTATTTTTGAAGAAATGATTAATTATTAACAAATACTCCGTTTTGATGATTTTTCACAAATCATTTTAAAAGACTTCCATTCCAACCACAGGATACTAAATCTGACGGAAATTCACTAAATTTGCATTGATACAATATTTTGAAAATCAAAAAATGAAAAAAAAATCCATAAAAACCAGAACCGGCCACTATACCTCATATGACTGTTATAGATATGTAGATATTATGAGAGCATGTCAGAAAGTGGTAAATGCACCCTTAATAAATAAGAGATGGATGCGTAAAAAACAATATGAAATACTAGCAATTCTTAAAATGAAGCATATGATCAAAATTTACAACTTAAAGAGAATTTTTAGTCTACAACCTTATTTTCGTCTGACCACATTTTTTCAACTTTTTGTACAACATAGAATTTACCTTTAGGCCATACGGGATGCTCTTGATAATACTGATATGTGTGGCCATTATTATCCTTCGCTTCTTTATCTGCCCCGGCAGTGATAAGATAATCAATAATAGGTTTACGATAACCCCTAATTGATGCCTTAATGAGTGCAGTTTCCCCATCATTATTCTTTGCTTCTTTATCTGCTCCAGCAGAAATAAGATATTTAACAACTTCAAGACGGCCATTTTCTGATGCACAAATGAGTGGAGTATATCCATCTTTATTCTTTGCTTCTTTATTCGCACCAATAGAGATAAGATATTCGACAACTTCAAGATGGCCTTTCTGTGATGCGATAAAGAGAGGAGTTTCTCCATTACTTTTCATCACCTCTTTATCTGCACCAACAGAAATCAGATATTTAACAACTTCGAGATGACCATTTTCTGATGCACAAATGATTGGGTTATTTCCATTATTCGTCTTCACTTCTTTATCTAACCCAATAGAAATAAGATATTTAACAACATCGAGATGATCATATAATGATGCATTATAAAGAAGAGAATGTCCATTTGCATCTTTTGATTCTTTATTTACCACAGCAGAAATAAGATATTTAACAACTTCAAGATGACCACTTAATGTTGCAATAATGAGGGAAGTGTTTCCATTATTATTTTTTGATTCTTTATCTGCTCCACTTGAGACAAGATATTTAACAACATCAAGATAACCTTTAGATGATGCAGAAATGAGTGGATTCCACCCATCATTATCCTTTGCTTCTTTGTCTACTCAGATAGAAATAAGATATTTGACAATATCAAGATGACCATTAAATGACGCAATAATAAGTGAAGTTAACACATCTTCAATCTTTACTTCTTTATCCGCTCCAACAGAAATAAGATGCTTAACAACTTCAAGATGACCATTCTGCTAGGGATGCGACGGTTTTACGCCATGACCGTTTAAAAATAGAATAATACGCCATTTTTGGGGCCGAATGGCGGGTACGAAGTAGCCGCCATTCGGCCGAATAACAAAACAATACAAAATTATCGCCGTCCTTTTTTTTCTTTCTTTCTCTTTTTTTTCCTCTCTCTTTCTTTTCTCTTTCCTCTTTTTACTCCTCTTTCTCTTTTCATCATTAAACGTAGAAAGATATATTAATATTATTTTAAAATTAAAAAAAAATAAAGAAAGTATAATAAGTAATTATTTAGTTATCGATATATATATGTAAAGTGATAATCTGAGGATAATCTGAGGAGGAGTCTGAGGATTAGACCGAGGAGTAGTTTGAGGAGTTTGATGATAATCTGAGGAGTTTGAGGAATAGTCTGAGGAGGAGTTTGAGGATAATCTGAGGAGTTGTCTGAGAAGTAGTTTCAGGAGTTGTCTGAGGATAATTTGAGGAGTTTGAGGAGTAGTCTGAGGAGTTTGAGGAGTAGTCTGAGGAGTTTGAGGAGTAGTCTGAGGAGTTTGAGGATAATCTGAGGAGTTTGAGGATAATCTGAGGAGTTTGAGGATAATCTGAGGAGTTTGAGGAATAGTCTGAGGAGTTTGAGGAGTTTGAGGATAATCTGAGGAGTTTGAGGAATAGTCTGAGGAGGAGTTTGAGGATAATCTGAGGAGTTGTCTGAGAAGTAGTTTCAGGAGTTGTCTGAGGATAATTTGAGGAGTTTGAGGAGTAGTCTGAGGAGTTTGAGGAGTAGTCTGAGGAGTTTGAGGAGTAGTCTGAGGAGTTTGAGGAGTAGTCTGAGGAGTTTGAGGATAATCTGAGGAGTTTGAGGATAATCTGAGGAGTTTGAGGATAATCTGAGGAGTTTGAGGAGTAGTCTGAGGAGTTTGAGGAGTAGTTTGAGGAGTAGTCTGAGGAGTTTGAGGATAATCTGAGGAGGAGTTTGAGGATAATCTGAGGAGGAGTTTGAGGAGGGGTCTAAGGAGTAGTCTGAGGATGATGAGTAATCTGATAAGGAGTAGTCTGAGGATGATCTGAGGATAACCTGATGACTAGTCTAGGAGTGGTCTAATAAAAATGTAAAATATTTTCAAAGAAAAAATTCTATGAATTTTATATTTTAATTCTTAGCATTATACTGAATAAAATAAACATAAATATCAAAATTTGAAATTGAACACGCCAAAAAATTGATAATCCACATTCAATATTTTGTAAGTGGCGTACATTTTGAATACTCGCCATACGCCTTGGAGTTCTCAATTTTGAATTCGCCTTTATTTGGGCGACCTCAGAAAAATACGCCATTAAGAAAATATTGTATGAGATTTTAAATTTGAACACGCTCTACCTTAAGGAATTAAATTTATTAAGATATATTTATATATAATAAACGATTACTTAAAAAAAGTATTTCATCGCTTATGTAAGTTTCAAAAAAATCACGAAAATAAAAAAATCAAGATTAAAATTTTATTTTTAATTTTTGAATTTCTCAAATGGCGAAATTTTTGGGCGAACAAAAAAAATGTACGCCCGGTCAAATGGCGTGTTTAACGCATCCCTACATTCTGCAATGCACAATCGAGTGAATTCCATCCATTATTATCCTTCGCATCTTTATCTGCTCCGATTGAGATAAGATATTTAACAATATCAAGGTGACCATTATATGATGCACGAATAAGTGGAGTATCACCATCTTGATTCTTCGCTTCTTTATCTGCTCCGATGGAGATAAGATATTTAACAAGATCAAGGTGACCATTAGAGGATGCAATAGTGAGAGAGGTATTTCCATTTTTATCCTTTGATTCTTTATCAAAATCATTTGAAATGAGAGTCTTAACCAAAGGGAGATTTCCTTTCGAAGATGCTTCTCTTAATATCATATTTCCAAATATAGATTTATTCTGGTCGACAATTTCTGCAAATGCAGCTGTTGTCATTGTTTGAAATCCTTTTTTTGAAATTTCATCAAGAATTTCAAATGCTTTTTTGCCGTCATTGGATTTTTTGTATTCTGCAAGTTTTGTTATAAAATTGTAACGACTCAATTTTTGATTTTGAGACCTAGATCGTAATAAGGAATCATGAAGAGATATTATGATGTTTTTGTAATTGATTTCATCACTTAAATCAATGAGTTTATTAACGATGCTTTCACTACAAAACTCGAAATGAACATTTTCAATTAAAGGAGAGAAAATTTCACTTACTTCTATGAGCGAAAGAACAAAATTTGCTAATGAATCTTCGTCATGTATTAATAATTTATCATTGATCACAATCTTTTGAAGAATGTCGAATCCGATCTTCTTCGAAATTGATTTTAGTTTGTTTTGATCGATTTCGAAGAAATGATTTGAAATAAAGTCACAACATTCGAGCAACTTGCTGCAATAATGGGGATATCTTGGCGAGATATCGAAATAAAATTCAAGTAACTGTAAACAATTATTTTTATCAAGTTCCATTTTGTCAATCACTTGAGTTTTATATAAATCGATTAGTTCTTTGATTTCAAGTTCGATTCCAATATGAAAAAGATCTTTCATAACAACATCGTCAAATTCAACCTTCGCTTTTTGATATTGCAATATTTCTCTTAAGACATTGTATGTATTATATGATTCGACATCAGCATTAGCATCAATTTTTGCAATTGTATTATCTGATAAATACTTCGTGTAGCATTTTTGTGAAATAGCAATTGCAAAGTATTTATTTATTGATAATTCAACATTGTTAATTAACAGCACTACCTTTTCTGATGTTCTACAATTATTAATTCTCTGAAGAATGGGATTATCCATCTGAATTGATCCCATCTTTCTTTTCCTAAAATTGCTGGATAATTTATGCTAAAAAATGGTCATTATGAAGCTCTTTGCTTTAGTGCTTGATTCTTAAAGATTGAAAAAGTAAGCAGCTTAAAATACGATTTTTAAAATTTCAAGAAAAGTAATTTTATAATTTTTGAAATCAATATTGCAAAATTACCTCAAAAAAATTTAAAAAACAAAAATCAAAACGATGATACAGAATTAATATTTAAATACAATTATTTTGCTCTACAACATCAACTTTTTATTCTCGATATTTTTTAAATAGACTATATTGAGTTAGGGCTGTACAAAATCGAGAAAAACATTGCCGTGCGGTAATATAGGGTCAAAAAAATCGCGCCTCAGCGGCTCCGCCGCCTCGGCACTATTAAGTGCGCATTATATTTAATATGTCCTTTTTTTCTTTTTTCTTCCTCTTCTTTCCTTCTCCTTCTCTTTTTACAACAACGTCGAAGATCTTCGAATTTGATTGTTGGAAAAGCATCTATTTCAGATAAAGGATGCCTTTCTCACAGTCAACATACGAGGGTCCTGGCTGAAACGTTCTCAAAAAGCCTGAGATGGTAATTCTCTAATCACTCATAGCTGGGCAGGTAGTCATTGCTGACAATACCTGTCTTCTTTATGCATGCACGCTTTCATGTATATGGGTTTACACTATCAATTCGCAAAGTTGTTCCGAATTCTTCCAAAATGGAAGGACCCGAAACAACTTTGCTTGTTAACGATACAGACGCATTACTTTGCATTGATACTGTGCTGAGTTGTGTAGAAAGTTTGATTAGAGTTGTTTTGTTCTGGTATCTCTCATCTTCTGATGAGAGAAATCAAAGCAACACAACTCTAATGAGTTTGTTTTCACTCATTTGTATGTAGGTTTTTAGTTCGATTGGAGCTGCTTCATAATGAGATCTCTCATCAATTGATGAGGGAGATCATAACAAAGCAGCTCTAATGTATATGCTCGTATTAACCGGGTTGTAATGCGTTGTAACGTCAGCTTGTAGTTCGTTTGGGGCCACTTCACATTGAGATGAGAAGAAATGATTAAAGGACTCTGAAAGGCTTTGGCCGTTGATGTTGTAATCGCATTACTTGGAACTAGCTGGATGCTAAGCTGTGTAGAATGTTCGATTAGAGCTGTTTTGATATGATTTTTCTCATCATAAGATTGGAGGAATCATAGCAAAACAACTCTAATGGGTTTACCATCATCTACTTGTATGTAGATGTTTGGGAAATTGTCTTGTTAATCGATTTTCGAGATGACTTTCAAATGCTATAATCAAATGACAAACAAGTCTAAGATTTCTCGACAATACATCAAATCATGATGTTTGTAAGTGCGATGAGATTAGAGTTTTTGAAGGAATGACAAGAGAAGTAGGGAAGCTCGGCATTCGCCGAGCAAATTAAAAATTAACGTATGGATTAAATTTTAAGAGGAATAAAAAAAAAAAAAAAAAAAAAAAAAAAAAGGGAGTGGGGCTTCCAGGCACTTCGTGCCTTCTAGCCCTGAGGATGAATGAGTATAATGAAGTTTTTTTTTCTTGGGGGATGGCTTCCAGGCACTTCGTGCCTTCTAGCCCCCGAAGATGTTTTGTCAAGACTTCTTCGTAAATGTTTTGTCAAGACTTCTTCGTAAATGTTTTGTCAAGACTTCTTCGTAAATGTTTTGTCAAGACTTCTTCGTAAATGTTTTGTCAAGATTTCATCGTAAATGTTTTGTCAAGACTTCTTCGTAAATGTTTTGTCAAGACTTCTTCGTAAATGTTTTGTCAAGACTTCTTCGTAAATGTTTTGTCAAGACTTCTTCGTAAAATCAGACAAAAATAATGTTTAGGGTAGAAGGTTAGATATAACCTCTTTTCTAACCTCTTTTCTACCCTCTTGAATTTGTCAAGACTTCTTCGTAAATGTTTTGTCAAGACTTCTTCGTAAATGTTTTGTCAAGACTTCTTCGTAAAATCAGACAAAAATAATGTTTTAGGGTAGAAGGTTAGATATAACCTCTTTTCTAACCTCTTTTCTACCCTCTTGAATTTGTCAAGATTTCTTCGTAAATGTTTTGTCAAGACTTCTTCGTAAATGTTTTGTCAAGACTTCTTCGTAAATGTTTTGTCAAGACTTCTTCGTAAAATCAGACAAAAATAATGTTTAGGGTAGAAGGTTAGATATAACTCTTTTCTAACCTCTTTTCTACCCTCTTGAATTTTCATGAAATTTACACCAAAAATATACTACTAGGGTCATTTACGAAGAAATCTCAACAAAGTCTTTACGATGAAATCTCAACAAAACATAGACAAGAAAGTTCATGAGAAATTAGATGAAGAAGTCTTAACAAAGTCTTTACGAAGAAATTCATGAAAATTCAAGAGGGTAGAAAAGAGGGTAGAAAAGAGGTTATATCTACCCTTCTACCCTAAACATTATTTTTGGGTCATTTACACTCATTTACGAAGAAATCTCAACAAAGTCTTTACGATGAAATCTCAACAAAACATAGACAAGAAAGTTCATGAGAAATTAGATGAAGAAGTCTTAACAAAGTCTTTACGAAGAAATTCATGAAAATTCAAGAGGGTAGAAAAGAGGGTAGAAAAGAGGTTATATCTACCCTTCTACCCTAAAATATATTTTTGGGTCATTTACACTCATTTACGAAGAAATCTCAACAAAGTCTTTACGAAGAAGTCACAATAAAGTCTTTACGAAGAAATTCATGAAAATTCAAGAGGGTAGAAATGAGGTTAGAAAAGAGGTTAGATATACCCTTCTACCCTAAAATATATTTTTGGGTCATTTACACTCATTTACGAAGAAATCTCAACAAAGTCTTTACGAAGAAGTCACAATAAAACATCTGTCAAAAACCGCTTTTTAACTTCACTTAAAATGCCACGTAAGCTACGTAAGAATATACGTAAGAGGAAGAGAGCATTGAAACATCCAATAGTAAGACTGACACCACAACAACAGTTGCAACAACAAATGCTGAATGACCCCACTATGTTGCAACAAATGTCAAGCAATCCTATGCTTTTAAACCGAGTTGTTGGTGCACAGAGTGGAGGTTTAAGAGCGGCACTTTTAGCGAAAATGGCAGGCTATGGTGGAGCTGCAGACGGAACAGCCTATAACCCTCAAAGTCAAATGAATTGAGTTCACTCAAAAATCAAATAAGATGTCAAAAAGTCAAACATAGACATACAGAAGCAAATAAGTGAAAACGAAAGAAACTAGAATATGACAGACACACAAAGAAACTCAATGAGTTAAACGTAGAGAAAAAGAAGAAGAAGAACAACTGAAAGAACTAAGTACAGAGGAAATATGCGAAAAAAGTGTCAGAAAAAGCAGCAGAAGTAGCAAAAATGGAACAAGATGTCATAAATTTTGAAAAACCATACTACTCAATATAAAATACTGAAAGATGAAGAGATAAAACAAAAAGCCCTGAAGAACATATGGATAGCGATGAGTATAAAAAAGAAGTTGAAGCAAATGTAAAGGCAGAAAAACTTTTACAGTTGCAAAACCAAAACCGTACAGTATGAAAACTTAGCACAAGAAAGTAAAAATAACGACGCGGCTATGCAAAAGGCAATGAAAAGCGCAGAATATATAAAAGCTAACAATGACTGGTTAGATGCCCAAGCCACGCTAAAGCAGCCCAACTCATAGGGTCAATAAGGACAAAATACAAGCGGATGAAGATAGTTCAAATGAAGCTTTAACAAATGCTGACTTTAAGAACGCTTTCGAAGCTCTTCATAGTAAGGTGAAACAAGTGAACGACTTCTCATCTGGAAAGAAACTGAAGTCTGAAGGTTTCGACAAAGAGTTAAAAGAAGTAGCACAAAATATGACGAAAATAACAGATGCAGCAACGAGACAGGCAGTTCAAAGTGCCTATGACGCCGTTAGAGCAACTGTTGTGAAAAGTCAAGAAAAGAGTTTACAACAGACCAAAACAGACCTAGTAAATGCTTTCTTAAGAACGAAAAGTCAGGTAGGACATTATGCTGCAGATGGAACATATGTGCCAGCTGGTGGAACTTATATACCACCAAACCCTCCAAGAGAAGCCCTGCACCAGGACTACCTAAAACATTTACATCGTCACATGGACACAGACACAGGCATGCACCAAAACCAACACAACAACCAACAGTTCAAAACCTGCACAACAACCAACAGTTCAAAACACTACACAACAACCACAGTTCAAAACCCTGCACACAACCACAAACAGAGCAAGGACATAAAGAAGTAGAGAACAAGGAAAACCAAGAATTCTTAAAAATGCTTAAAGAAGAGTGTGGTTTCCCAGATACTGTTGACTTTAGTGACAGATATAAAGAAGCTATTGGAAAGTTCAAGGATGGAAATACTGACCCGAACCTATTTAGCTTTATGGCTCAGCACCAAAACGGATATAATCTCAAACCTGGAAAATACAAGCTCGCTAAGGGATATGATTTAATAGCAATCATCCAAATGACATGGATGAATTTACTCCGAGATATTTTGATGTCAGAGCTAAATGACAATTCAACTTTCGTCATGAAACGCGTAAAAAATAGAGACGGAACGAAAGAACAAAAGCTTATGAATGCGGATGACGTAGATAGGGAAAATTGTTGAAAACGGTCTCGGAATATATGAAATAGCCAGATGAGGTACAAGAAACTCCACAGGAAGAAGTTCAGATACAACCAGACATGGAAGAAATAGTTCAGCAACAACAGCTAGAAGAGCCTGAAGGAAACGAACAAGTCACTCCTTTGGAAACTAACTTCACAGAACTAGATGAAGATTTGGAACAGCCGAAAAATCTTGACCCTCAACAAGAGCATGAGGTGAATATGGAATCTTTCCAAGAGTCTAAGAAATTCGGCTGACATAGTAGAAGAATATCGAAAAAATGTTTGCCGACATACAAAAGACTCCACACCAGATGAAAATATTCAGCATAG